TTTATTTCCCTACTTTAACATTTTGATATTGTTTTAAATTAAAAATACAGTTTTTGTAACAATTATAACAAATAGCTCATTAATTATTTTTCCTATAAATATAGCATTCATAGTACCAGCTATTCGAGATTTTTGTGTAGTAGTTACTATAACTTTTGCTAGTTTACCCATGATATTTTTAATGCTAACCCGAACTTTTTTATCTACTAATTTTCCCTATTGCGAGACAAATATTATCATAATATTTGTGTCTCAATGTAATTATGAGCTTTTACATCAATGCTTTATTTCAATACATGCAGTCATTCATCAGATTGTGTCAATAATAAATAAGTAAATAGTAAATTTCAAAAGAAAGATGACAACTTACCTAACAAATTCTTCTGATAAACCTTGGATCGTCTCTTAATTATTGACCGGTTTTGTTTTTGAACATAAACACTTTTTGAGTCACAGTTTCAAGATTTTTATATTCCCACGGTAAAAAGCTTCAAGTAATAATGACGCAAACTTAGTATAGAAGTAAATATTTTCCGCATTGAACAATAGAAACCATACACAACAACTGATTTCGTCTTTTTCAAAATTTTGAATTACTTGATATTAAGAAATACAGAGTCAAATATCCCACTGTGACATGTACTTGACCCTTGCACAAAACATTCTTCTAAGCTTCTGGCTATCTCCTATATTCCGATAGAGATAACCTGTAAATTACACTTATTTATTTCTGTATACGAGGGGTTATCCAAAAATTCGTGGACTTTTTAAAAATCTCTTGAACGTTAAATTTTATCAGCATACATTGTAGAATATTATCAACACATTTTGAAAGCAACATGTAACTGCGTCAATAAATAATGATTTTATATTGCTTTTAAATATGCACATGCACGGCACCCGGCGCACTATAGAAAACCGCAGTTAGTCATCGTATATTTTTGCTAAAAAACTAATAATCAACGTAGAAAAGCCGCTAAACACCGCATGTTGCTTCTATGACATAATTTAAGTAATCTTTAAAATCATGGACGTCATTTCCGTTTATTTTTGTTGATATCGCTAGAAACGCCAGACGCCGATATTGTTTACAACGGGAAAATGACGGATACGCAGAAATTAGAAAATCGCGCCATCATAAAATTTGGTTGTAATTTGTAAATGACACCAGTAAAAACATTTTAAAAAATCAGCAGGCTAACAGAGAAAGTAAAATGTCACGATAATTAGTGTTTAAGTGGTAAAAGATATTTAGTGTTGAACGGGAAAACGGACATTACTTTGAAAGGCAGTTACGGTCATTGACTGCGTAACGTAGAAGCAAAAGTTGTACGTTATCAAGACGTTAACGTCAATAACTTTTTGGAGTGCGCCGCTGTCGCCGATATGTGTTTATCACACACCCGTGCCGATTTTGCGACTCCTTAAAAATGGTATTGCACGGCCGTGCATATATTTCGACGTGACGTCATTATCGTTATACAAACATAGTGTAAAGACGCGCTAAATGTTAGCGTTATACTATAGGCGCGTCAATGAAAAATGACTCTTTTTTCACTTTAAACGGTCTTTATTTTGGGTATGTGATAAAAAGAATATTAAATTCGTGTAAGTTCATTACTGAATTTAATGCACTCGTTGAATAAAATAATATTATGCTCGCCAGAGGCTCGCATAATTTAATTTATTCAACTCGTGCAATAAATTCAATATTGAACTAACACTCATTCAATATCCTCTATTTATGTAAAAATTAATATTGTTGTAATCTAAGAAGCTACTAACATGAATTTTTCTGTGTTAATTTGTTATTTATTATTCTAAGCAGTGTAAGAATTTGAAATCAATATGTCAAATATATTTTATGCAACAAAGAAAGTCAACGAAATTTTGGATAACCCCTCGTACATTGTAGATTTGTTTTAATTTTGAATCTCTCTGTTAATATTTATGTGTGTACTTTGTATAATAAATTAGGTTTGCAATTTATTGAAAATAAATTTTGTTGAAACCAACGAGTAAGAGATAAACAGTAAAACAACTCAAAAAATAGTTTACATAAAATATCATAACAACTGAAAAAGCAGATCAGCAATGCGTTCAACGAGGTTTAAATTTTGTTAAAGGACCATTGTGCTTCAGAAATGCTTTTATTCTAATTCTTCAATAGCTTTTAGTTTTGGAATATTAATAAGTCAAAATATTACGTTGTTTACATTTTGCTACTTTGATTACTAATTTTGTCACATTTATCGCTACATTCTTCAGGTTCTTCAGGCATCTAACATATATTATAACCATTATCTAAATGTAACCGTTATAGAATTTATGTTTTTCCTTTCTAAAGAAGTTAAAAATATATCTATATCGGAGGCATAATGTGCCTTGTATAATCACAGATTAATCGAATTAGTATGTCAAGATCGTATTGGAAGATATTGCGGATTCTGCTTTAAATCAATTGAATCAGACCCAGATAAACAGACTAAGTGACTATGCTATATTGCATTTAAACAAAAATGTGGTATACTATTAAAGCTACTAAAGAGATACTCACCCTTGATTTAGAAAGGAACTACTATAAATTATAACATTTCGTATATGTGTTTATTAAACAACAAATTCATTAATCATATGTTCATCAAATCTCTCAAAGTTTCCAACCTCAACATTCACTCTGTCTATGAGATAAATTCCTCCCAATATTGTAACAGAAAAAAAGAATGTCATTACTATACTGTACAGAGGAATGATTGTCAAGTAGAAATAATGTACAATATGTGAGTTTAAAGCAACATGACCTGAGATTCATGCTAATGTTCATAAAATTAAAAAAATGTATTTAAAATTAGAATTAAGTCAAGTGATGATTTACACACATCAAACGGTAGTTAAAATCTACAAAAAATACCAAAAAGATAGGTCAGAATATGCAAAAATGGCCCTTACGGCGTTAGTCGTGCAAGACAAAAATGGTGATAAATACTGCAAAATCAATCATTAATTACATGTAACATATAATTTTCTTGAATTTTGAATAATTTTTGTAATTGTCGATTTTAAAGAATTGAAATAGTATTGATGTCAATTAAATCACTCGAAATAACACAGATGTCGATAAGATAAGTTTTAAATCAGTAAATGCCTTCAGTATCAGCATAATTGCAGAAGCAGGCACAAGTGAAAACTTTTGTAAACACTAATGTCCCTTTCAATGTCTAGAAAAGCAGTGTTGAACTTACACTTTTTCATGATGCTTTTCGTTTAGTCCAGTATTCAATAATTGTCTGCTCCATGAATTTCTTTTCTATTTTGTCCTTTGGCGCATTAGAATGACCGATATGATTAGATTCTATGAGCTTTGGCAATGCACCAACAGCGATGATCAATATCACTTGAAGTACTTCTGTTATTTGGTCATCCGGTACTAAACTATAATTGTGTGTTATGATAAGGAAAAGGAGTAACCAGGATGTTAAAATGGAAACTCTTAATAGCATTGACAGAACGTGTTTGTGTATTGGGCGATATTTACGAATGAGCAATTGAAAAAGCTCATTTGGTATACCATAGCTGTGTTCTTCTATTTTCATTTCAATTACATTTTCACTTGTATTAGGAATGATGGTATTTTGAGAAGTATCCAACAACTGTCCATTAATTTCTATTCCCCTCAGTTCGTTAAACATAACGTTTGAAACAGTCAAATGAGCATTGAAGCAAGTTACGTAATTTTGTGTTTTATTGATCCGTTTTGATATTGTGACTGCAGAAAGAAGTAGTGATGTATAATTATATTTAAACAGTTTAAGTTGGCGTATTATGTAATATACAATAACGACAAAAAGGAAAATATTTCCAAAAGAAACCGAAGGGAAAATAACGACAGCAACAAAGCAGTATAATATCACTTTAGTGACAAATGTAAAGCTTGAGACAAACAGCAAGCTACAACAGTAAGCAAATACCAAAATGGATATGGATAACACAAAGTTATAGAGGCATCTTGTGAAACAAAAACTGAAAAGGTACGAAAATATTGTATATTTTTTCCTCAAATCGGGTATCATTTTCATACCCGCTCTTATCATTATAATGAAGAAAAAGAGAAACGGTACTCCAAAATATAAAAGACACATCAAAATTTCTAAGAGACAAATCACAATATATAAAGGTATACAAACAACACTGAGCAAGCACAGAAGCATTGGCATTCGGTCACAAATGAAACGTGCCCTCGTTATTTGTATTCGCCAGACTAAACGCCAGAATTTCATAGAAAATAACATATAGAAATTACATCTCATCAGAGTACCACCTTTTTTGTATCCAGGTTTCAAATCAGCAGGGTCAACATTGATCTGTGACAGGTTAATAATATCATTTGCTCCGAATAAAAGGGGCGACTTTATAACTCTGCAGCTGAGACACTGCTGTCTTTCTTCGACATTATTAACACTAAGATTTTCACAAAACATATCAGAAAGTGGCAAACCATTGTGTACAACATTTTTAAGACATTTAGGTAAAACGAAAAAGAAAAAACCAAGAACAAAATAAAGAGCAGTGATGCCAACTGGTCCCCCTAATGCCGGGACGAAAACTTTATGTCTATTGCTTGCATCACCAAGAAGTGCCAGAAATCCTACAGGTGCTCCCACATCCACAAAATCTTTAATAGTTATTTTATCACCTTTCTTCCAAACACCAATACCGTCGGTATTCATATACAGCTCAATATAAATTATCAACGGTATCAGTATAAGACAAAAGAATCTTCTGATTCTTGAAACTAACACTGGCCATTGTTTGTCGATACCAATCCAATGGAAGCTCATGACATCAAAAAATATAAGAGGATGCCCTCCGTTTGCATATATCCATTCTTCTTGGTCTACGTCGTTCATTGGTATTTCTTTTGTACCATCCTTTTCTCCTAGCCAAGCCAATAATTTGAAAAGAGGTATTGGAAAAAATGCCATTATCAAACTGAAAAGAATTATGTTGATAGTTGTTAAATGCGTCCATCGTATATGCCTAATGTCTTTAGAACAATTGTTGTCAAACTTTTCATCCCTGAAGTTGTATTTGAGTAAACAACATTTGTAGTCGATATATATGATAGGGAATAGGAAGTAAATCGACGCTTGGTAAGCTAAAGTATCGCGTATATTTTCGTCGATTGAAAGATAACAAAAATAGTTTTCCAGATATTCTTGTGGTAGATTAGATGCGCTGTCGATATTGACGAGTGGACTTAAAGCGTCCGTGATAAGTTCCGATGTTTCTTCCGTTCCCAATGTCAAGTTGCATTTCCCATGGACCGTCATGACAACGCGTGGTGCAAGTGCTGTTTTAAAATCCAACAGTCCAAACGAATAAATATCATAACGTAATTTCCATAATGGTATTTGGTATGGCTTGGACATTAATCCAAAAGTCCAGTACCATCTGCCAGGTTGAAACACATCTTTGGTTTTGTTTACTTTTGCATTCTGTATTACAATATGAAACTGAACAAAATGGGGCCTATGTTTTTTCAATACCTGTTGAAATGTATATGCACTCATTTTGTCAACAACAACTTTACATTCATTTTTAAGGAGAGAAGGAAGAATGACAGTTGTGTTTGACCTTATAATGTCAGTAAATTGGCTCACATTACTGGATACAGCGCCATCTGAAGATGAATTTGAAGATATTGTCCCTTTACTATAAGCAAAGAGGGATAATGTCAGCAATAGAATGATGATTGATGATACATTCGCCATGAGGATGAAAGTGGAAAGCGGGTACTTGGTCTGAAAAAAAAGGTATCGATGTTAAATTTCAGTTCAGAATACATTCTGTTACAGATTAATATGTGCACACTCCCTTTACATTGAATGACTTTGAATTTAATTTAAATCGACATTTAAAATATATAACAATTTGACTATAACTTCCATAGGGAAGGCATTGTTACCCGCCGTGCAGTTTTGTTGAAACAAGAAAGGTCTACATATTTTACACAAACGTAGGTAATTGATAGTGATATATTTATTTTAAAAAATGAAATTAGGAAATTAGGTATATCCGTCCGCTTCCACCAATTTTGTAGCGTGTACTGAATTTAAGTTATACAAAATAAATTTTACTTTTTTAATATAGTTTTTTTTACCTCATGATTGGATGCTAACTTAGAGACAATTATTAACAACAATTTTAAGTTATTCTTTTAAGATTATCTAAAACTTTATATTTTTATATCTTTAAAAGTTTTTTTTTAACAAAAGATTAATTTATTCTTTATTTCCCTACTTTAACATTTTGTTATTGTTTTATATTAAAAATACAGTTACAACAAATAGTTCATTAATTATTTTTCCTATAAATATAGCATTCATAGTACCAGATATTCGAGATTTTTGTGTAGTAGTTACTATAACTTTTAACTTTTGCTATTTTACCCATACTTTTTTTAATTATCTGGGCCCAAGAGGTCTTCTTGAAACAATAGAACATATTTGAGAATTTTGTGTTCAAGAAAATATTACAGTAATTAAGATTTGACATTTTACAAGGACATAACTAAACAAACTTAATATATTTATTTCCCAAAAATACTTTAACTGAAACATTTGCCCATATGTTTGACAGAAATAGGAAAACGTTTTTAGTGCCAGATAGTTGAGTTTTTTGTACACTAGTAGTATGTATTTAACCGATGTTTTCTATTTTACATCTGTGCATAGACATATTAATACTAAATTAAATATCCACTTTTAAAACTTTTTTGAAACGTTTGTCCATGAGGTTTTACAGAAACAGCAAAAATACTTTAGCACCAGATATTTGAGATTTCTGCGTACTAGTAAATATATTACTGTCTAAACCAAACTGACTTTTTTGCACTGCGCTTGCTTTATTTAAAACTTTTTGTAATACACATTTGTACTTAATTTTATAAGCGTATGCTGCCTAAAGTTATTCAAAATATAAACACTTTGAATAATTTTTCTTACTTACATTTATTAATAATAAAAATAACTAAAATGCCTCTTTTATTTTTACTAAATTTATAAATAAATTGTTATATACTTTTTTATGCAAACATTTAAAAGGAAAGGCAATTTAGCTAACTATAATGTACGTTTTCGTTACAATAATTATTATTGATTAGGTATATGACAATAAAACCGATTCCGTTGGATTGAGCCTGGTTTTGAAAGATAATGTAAGCAAAATGTTCCAGAACTCATTGAACAGGCATAAACACTATCTAGGACGAAGGATCAGCGTATGGTTAATCTTCCCCGGTACTGTCAAGTCTCGAATACTTAAAGCATTTGGAGCAATGAATGATACAGAAAGACAATAATACATATATTTTCATTAATGTATTACATGTGTAAGTAGGTGTTAACTGTTTCATTTCAGTTCAATTTTATATACATTTAAAAAATAAAATGATAAATGTGTAGTGATTAACAATTAATTTATGTTTTGTTTAATTTTTTTAACGTACGAACCTATTAAGCTTTTTTCGTAACGTCTTCAAATTATATTCTGATAACTGTCAAATTGAAAAATAATTTTGTACACTCTTGATATTGATGTGTATTATTAATTATATTTATATTCATTGACTTTATACCATGCTTCGCTTTCAAATAAATGTTTAGTTAAATTACAGTGAAATCATTAATGTATATGAAGTTTCAGTGTGGGTATCTGTTCAGGATAAATGTTGCCTTAAAAGTATCAAGACCTCTTTCATATCCTGATAATTCCAGCATATCTGCTTGTAGTGGGGCGGGAAATTGAGAAAATAGTGCAAATTGTGATACAAGCATGAAACTTTCAGGAAATCATCTTTAGACCAAGTAGATTTCAAAAGTGAAGTGGGCCCAAAAATATATCTGCTCATTCAAGATGGCCGCCATTTTCAAAATGGCCGCCATATATATTTGACTTACATACTAGCTCATTCATTCCAATTTTTGGTACAGACCTTTAACTAACACAAAAAGCATGCATATAGTTTCTCCTTTTCAAAAATTTTAATCTTACAAAATTTCTCTTTCATACCTCTTCCAAATCCAAGATTGCGTCCATTATGGCCGTCGATTTTGTGCAAAACTGTTATATCATTTTTATAATATAATTTGTTGCACAAATTATGTTTATTATGATAAAAAGTGTTTAAACATATCAGATTATAATCAAATTATATGTAAATCTCAATAAAAGGAAACAATTTAAAAGTTTTGTCTTAAAAATATCAATTATTAAAAAGATCAAGAAAAAATTCCAATTTTTTTTTATTTTTCAAATTTGATTTTCTAAATTAATGTACAAAGTTAAAAAAGTTACTTTTTATCTTAAACTGTATTTGACATTCCATTTATATCATGTGTTTATTGTAAAAAAATTAAGAAAACATTCTATCTTTAGGTTTTATATTTTGTGAAAGTGGGTGGGGTAATTTTGAACGATAATTGTAAAAGAAAAAAACAACAGAAAATAAACATAGCTAAGTCCGTTCTATTTCTTTTCCTTTATAGTTTTCTATGAATTCTCATGCAAAAATTCCAACTTAAAAAGTATTTTTTATTGGATGAAAGTATTTTTGTCTTCCTTCGGGCCAATTGTCTGAGCAAGAAATGCACATACAAACATGTGTATACATTCAGTTATTAAATTTGGTTGCATGATAATTCTTGTTTCAATATATTTGATATCATATACCATTTCATATAGATAGCATATTTTTGACTCCTTCACAATTTTATATTTATAATATAAACATGGCTTAAAAGCCAACAAAATGTATGTGATGTGAAACAGATATATCAATGATATGGTCTGGCCTGCATGCAGTTTTTTGAAAAGTTAAAATACAAACTAAGTGTATTTCCTAAAGTAATCATAGCTCATTTTTTTTCTTTCAATAAGAGGGCAATGATGACCCTAAGATCATTGTTGGGAAAAAGGTAACAAGATCATTTTGGGAGTGTCAATTATGTCATAACACACATGATTTGTGTCATAATTGAATCCGGTTGCTTTTAGAGAAACATGCTCAATATTTAGTTTCAAATTGTTTTTCACACGAGAGGACTTTAATAACCATATTCATATATGAGTCCATATAAACTTAGTGACCTCTGGTGTTTGGTAAATTTGGACCATGTTGTCCATGATATATCAAATATTTGTAGAGTATAACACAATAATGATGATACATGATTAATGTCTATGCGTCGGATACTGTAGGTTAAGAGAAAACAGATTTAATACATTAGTCTTTGTAAATTAAGTGATGCTCATTGCAAAACCATTTTAGACTGCAGTAGCATCATACAAATTTATGCATGTTATATCATGCGACATCCCAAATATCTTAGTTCAAGTCATTGTAGTTTAACACTTGATGTTTGTAATGTGTGTCTAGGCATTGTAGTTTGTTTGTTCGTTGATTATTCTTTTTTAATAACAACAACAACAAAACAACTTCAATAAGATTCCCTACACAGGTCTTTAAAAACTGTGTTCCTCGTGAGGGCCTTTAAATCATGCTCCTGCAGTCCAAAATGGCTTTACCTGCAGTTTACAATGACTTATATATCAAAATTCTTCTCCGAAACTACAGTGCACAGAGAAGAATATATATCGTTTATCATCACATTGTGATGCTATATAAAGATTATGAACTATTTTGGCATAGGGTCAAAATCACTTAGTTTACATGGACACTTATTGGAATATAGTTATATGAGTCTTCTTGTTGTTCTGAGAGCCTAGTTATTGGGCGTGTTTCTTTTCAAATAGTTTATAAATCATGACTGTATTTGGTGAAAAAAAGATACTCGTTATATGATTTTAGCATTTTTCAGTATTAAAGAATTATAGACCTTTTCCAGCAGTGGATCTTAGGCGAGTGATCTAGGGTCAACACTTCTTTATTGGTTAATGGGAATACATTTAGTTTATATTCCAAATCATAAGCTATGTTATGTGGGTCAAGCGGTTTTATTGATACCTATTTTAGCACACATAGATAATGTGATGTATCAGTCGCCTTAATTTTTGTTTCTTTTGAAAATATCATGTCAACATTAGTTATTAGAATGGACAGTACTAACTCAATTATACTTGGTTACAATGATGTGCAAGTAAATATAACTTTGAATTATTCAGCAAGACTAAATTGTCCAGGAAATAATTGTATTCATAAATAGACAACATTTCACTCATGTACAGGAATGAATTTATCAAATATGTATTTCCTTGATGTATATTCAGTCTTCTTTCTGCACAATTATCAAATTATATTAAGAATATTAAAACAACTTATTAGATCATGCAAACACATTTAATAACTGAATGTATACATATGATTTTATCTGCATTTATTGATATTTTAGTACACCCTCTAGACCTGAAGGAAGACACAAATACCTTAATACAAGAAACTATGTAACTTTTGGAATTTTGTACATAGACCTAGAAAACCATGTTAGAGAAAAATGCAAAAAATGACACTTTTTCTTATATATTTTTAAAGATTTTTTGTACAAAAAACTAAAACCATGACTAACAATGTGGTTAACCTAAAATTTGATTTTTTTCTAATCTGTTTAAAATTTTTATATGGAAATAAGCATACTGTGTGCAAAAAATTATACTACAAAAGAGATATATATCAGTTTTCATTAAAATTGGCAGCCATATTGGACGCTATCTTGGATTCTGAAGAAATATGCAAGCGAAATTGCTTAAAGATTTAAATATTTGAAAAGGGGAAACTATATGCATGTTTTGGTATAAGTTTCAGGTCTGTACAAACAATTGGAATGAATGAGCTATTATGTACGTCAAATTTATATGGCGGCCATCTTGAAAATGGCGGCCATCTTGAATGAGCAGAGATATTTTTGGGCCCACTTCACTTTTGAAATCTACATGGTCTAAAAATAATTTCCTGAAAGTTTCTTGCTTGTATCACAATTTGCACTTTTTTGACAGCAGAGACCTTATTTCCCGCCCACTTATTGTTTGCGAAATGAATTTCATTCTGTTCATTTCGTAATGCTTCCAAAACGAGTTTAGAATTTTATGCAATGCAATTTTTCGGCCTTTTCCGAATAAAAAAAATTCATCTAGGCGTATGTTTTTTTTTCGTTTTTTTTTAAATTTAGGTCTACGAAACGACGGAAATAACTTCATTATGCAAATCAAAACATGGCCGCTAATGTTGTCGCTGTTGTTCCGTTATTTCTCCTCCAGATTTAAGCAGCTCCGTTTGATAAAGCCTTACACAGATGACACTGTAGTTTTTGTTATATATATAACCACGGTTTTATTTTATTTTTAATACAGAATATACTTTTACCTCAATGTAAGTTTACCGGAGTTAATAAATAAGTTAATCAAACTTTTGGAAACATTTTTTAAATTTCAGGAGTTAAAACATGTCAAATATTTCGATAAATAAAGTTTGATTTAATCTGCAAGCAGCTAATTGCAACCTTGATTTAACTGATGTCTTTTAAGCAAGTCACATTGTTCAATTATCTTTTATTACTAATATGTTAACTTGTTATTTAGAGAAAAAAATTTCTTTTACATTTGATGGTAAAGTCAAAATCTGAGGCATTTACAACAAAGGATTCGCAATCTTTTTTGCCCATAATACCGCCTTGTAAATTTGTTTTCGGGCGTAAATTTCTTGCATCAGCAGAACTCTTGATTGTAAAATTTCCTCTAATACTTTTGATCTGATTAATTTGGAATAAATCATTATATTGATAACTTAAAAAATAGTTTTTCCACGTTTTTGTCTGTAAGTTGTTTTTGTTTTGACAAATATGATAAGATATAATTAGTCTGCTAATCCTAACTGTTTTATTTATTAATTTTCCCTATTGCGAGACAAATATTATCATAATATTTGTGTCTCAATGTAATTACGAGCTTTTACATCAATGCTTTATTTCAATACATGCAGTCATTCATCAGATTGTATCAATAATAAATAAGTAAATAGTAAATTTCAAAGAAAGATGACAATTTTTAAACTTACCTAACACATTCTTCTGATAAACCTTGGATACTTTTATACAAATTGTCTCTTAATTATTGACAGATTTTGTTTTTGAACATAAACACTTTTTGAGTTTCAAGATTTTTATATTCCCACGGTAAAAAGCTTCAAGTAATAATGACGCATACTTAGTAATGAAGTAAATATTTTCCGCATTGAACAATAGAAAACATACACACAAATGATTTCGTCTTTTTTAAAATTAAACGCCTTCTCATTATGAATTACATTTCTGTACTTGATATTAAGTAATTAAGAGTCAAATATCCTACTGTGACATGTACTTGACCCTTGCACAGAACATTCTTCTAAGCTTCTGGCTTTCTCCTATATTCTGATAGAGATAACCTGTAAATTACACTTATTTATTTCTGTATACACTGTAGATTTGTTTTAATTTTGAATTTCTCTGTTAACATTAAATATCATAACAACTTAAAAAGCAGATCAGCAACGCATTGTCTTGTTTTATTCAATGAGGTACACACATTGTGCTTCAGAAATGATTTGATTTTAATTCTTCAAGAGCTTTTAGTTTTCGAATTTATAGTTTCCAAAAAGTTTAGGTGATAGTGAATTAGTAATTTGTATGGAAGTCAAAATATTACGTTGTTTACATTTTGCTACTTTATTACAAATATTGTCACATTTATCGCTACATTCTTCAGGTTACAAGCATCTAACATACATTATAACCATTATCTTAATGTTATAGAATTTATGTTTTTCCTTTCTAAAGAAGTAAAACACATATTTATATCTGATGCATAACGTGCCTTGTATAATCACAGATTAATCGAATAATTATGTCAAGAACGTATGGGAAGATATTGCGGACTCTGCTTTAAATCAATTAAATCAGACCCAGATAAAAAGACTAAGTAACTATGCTATATTGCATGAGAACAAATACCTCGTATAATATGAAAGCTACTAAAGAGAAACTCACCCTTGATTTAGAAAGAAACGACTATAAATTATAACATTTCATATATGTGTTTATTAAACAATAAATTCATTAATCATATGTTCATCAAATCTCTCACTCAACATTTACTCTGTCTATGAGCCTTATTGTCACAGAAAAAAGAATGTCATTACTATACTGTACAGCGGAGTGATTGTACAAAAAGTGTCTTTGCTAAAGTAGAAATAATGTACAATATGTGAGTTTAAAGAAACATGCCGTCAGATTCATGCTTATTTTCATGAAAATCTAAAAAAAATGTATTTAAAATTAGAATAATGTCAAGTGATGATTTACACACATCAAACGGCACTTAAAATCTGCAAAAAAAAATGTATTTAAAATTAGAATAATGTCAAGTGATGATTTACACACATCAAACGGCACTTAAAATCTGCAAAAATTACCAAAAAGATAGGTCAGAATATGCAAAATGGCCCATACGGTGTTAGACTCGCGATAAATACTGCAAAATCAATCACTTATAACAGATAACACATAAAAAATTTCTTGAGTTGTGAATAATTTTACTTTTATAAGTTAATTTTTCCTCTAGAAGGCATGCAGCTTCCAAATTCAATGGAGGCAAGGTCATTTCATTTGAATCACTTTCCTTTTTATCAAGTGTTTTCAAAACCTTGTGATTACAGTAATCATTTTTAGCTTTCATGGGTGCGACTATGTTTCTATAATTTTAAAAATTCTCACCGTTTAAATGAAGGACTTTAAAATATGGATTAAATCTGTATTTACAAATACAAATGTATACATTTTTTCTGAAATCAAAATGAAAATAATATGAACATATTTAGATAGATAACAATGCTTGAGTTGACTTTCTCTTGTTCACATAAGGTTGCTTTTTCGAAATTAAAAAAAATGATAATCCTACAACCCCTTAAAGTAGTCGTGTCCTTCTGGATTAATCGGGAACGATCTGTCGAACAGTTGCTTTGGCTTGTCATCATACCCAAATATAAGACAATCACTTTTTACGAATTCTTGCAGTTTGGTCATTAAATCCAATGGAACCGTTCTATAGGCTTGAACGAGCGACTCTGTACGCTGTGCTTTTAGCTCAGCTTCATACTTTACACTGGATTCAACTGCATCCTTAACTGCAAGTCTGTATTCGGGTTCCTCTACATCTTCCACATCCATCTCAAGAAAAGGCATTTCAATTTCTTTAAGAATAACTCCTCTCATCTGATAACTCGACCAGGTTCTTTGAAAAAGTTTATATTTGGATATCAAGTTTTTGTACTTTTTCACACTTTCAAACATGTGGAATATACGACCGAAAACTCGTGAATTTTTCGTGTCAGATTCTATCTTAGCTGTAGAGCTGATGCCTTTTGAAACGACCTCCCTATATTTTAACTCTTCAACTAAATCTTGTAGATCTTGAGACATTGTTTCCAATTTTCCTATAAAATCAAAACGTTTTTGACACGGATCACAAATAGTTTTCATTGGCGCAAGGTGTGGGTTTAGGGGTCTCCTTTCTGCCCACATTTTCACCACATACTGTACCAGCTCAGAAAACGTTACGTCATGGCCGATGTCTTTACTTGTTTCCGAAGCATCTGGCCTTACTTCACGGATAACTTCAGTTCCTAGCTTCTTCCACATTTCGTTTGGGTGGAAAAATTTATTTTCGTATGCTGAAAACAATCTGCTATATGGCTCTCGTACGAAGGTGAAAGAATACGCATCTGGTAACGTATGGGGCTCCTTTATCTCTTCATAGTATTCCTTTGTAAAAACAGTGTTCGGACTTGTGAAGACCTTCTTTAGAAATACTTCCATGAAAGTTGTTCCACATTTTGGAACGTAGCAGTAATACACTGAACGATTCTGCATTAATCTGCCATATTCAAACACATTTTCTTTTTCAAAACTGTTTCCTTTGCACAAGTCCCGAACGTTTATTCTTCCTCGCCGCATCGATTCTTGCTTTTCCTGTAAAATTATTATCAATTATAAAATAAATCATAAAATATCATAATATCAACTGTATGTCCATAATCATGGAGTCAAAGTGACATTAACCCCTTCCAAGTGTAAATGGTGAGTGTATTGGTTAATGACATAATAACTATACATTTTGGAACAAATGTGTTCAATATTTTACTCAGCTTCACGAAAGTAATCAATATCTCATGTGACCCACCAAAGTTTTTAAAATGCTTTTTTTTCCTTTGTCAAAAACGTTTCCTTGTTTGTCTTGAAAATAACTTATAGGCCATAAAGTTGAACCGTCTTTTACTCCTTCCGTTCTTTAGCAACAGTGCAGTAAAAATGATATAGAGGGCAGTTTAAATACCTCTTTGTGTGCATTTTGCTACCCTATTACATATATCACTTTACAATTTAACTTCCTCCTACTGGTGATATGCAAACGTAAACAGCTTTGACCTAGATCACATACCAAAATAGTTAAATACGTCGACAATAAAGGGCTACATGCTAAAGTCAAATACTTATATGAATGTGAAAAGGATCTTCATATTCAATTTTTTTTATCTTAAATCAACATGAAATCAGATCCATATGAGCGTATTATTTGACGTAACCAATTATTGACATATTAAGATAATGACATATTATTTGCATCATGCGTCAGTTCTTTGTCATATGATTTTATGTGTCAATTCAGATAATCAAGAAAAGAGCGTTTGAACAAGATTTCAATATTTACCTCCCTTTAAATTCTTTTTATTTCGTGAACTGTCCAATGGCATTATTTTTTTGTTTGTTACTGCATTAATAATGATTGTGATATGGACCATCTTTATGTACAATTAGGTTATTTATGGAAACATTTAAAAATTCTTTTATCGGCAATTTCTCATCGTTGATATAATAAACTCCTAAACACTTTTAAGTGTCAAACTGTTATACAAATTATCTTTGGTTATTCTTATTCTACCAAGACAGTGTTGAACTACACTTCAATTCAATATTGCAATAATTAGTGTAACGAATATGATTATTCAATCTTGATCACTGTTTTAAGATCAGATGATGATTTTTTAAGATTAGTTAATTTTGCGTGATTCATCTGTAGATTTCTTTCCCGATTTATTTCGTCTAATCGCAGGTAATTATCGCCAAACAATATGAAGTAAAATATTGGCAAATAAATACTCGTAGCATTTATCTCCCTTTGATGGTACTATTTTTGTGAGATGTTTGTTTGTTTGTTTCATTTTTCCCAACAGTATCTCAGTCATATAGGCGGGTAGTTTCCTAACCATCGTTCCTGGAGAGTAACACCAGTACTAGACTACCTTCCTCCGCGCTAAACTACCAAAGTATCTCCTGGGGATCGAACCCACGCTAGAGAGGTAACTGGATTAGAAGTCTCGACCATGTGAGATATAAGTTTCCTGAAATTATGTTCTCCTTTTGTTGATCAACAGGTTTTGAAGCGTTACATGTTGGACAGACAGTACAATATCAAATCTAAATGGGTAAAGTTGTCTTTGTTTAAATGGAAGAAAATGGAAAAAATGAATACAGGTAAAATGTTTACGCACTTGATGCTGAATAATAGGCCGTCTAGGAAGTGTATCCCACACAGTATCACCAGAATCGGACGCTCGCGACATGGTGTGAACATCTGAAATAGTGTAAATGTCGATTTAAAACACGCGAAATAATGTAAATGTCGATTTAAAACAACTGAAATAGTAAAGATGTCAATGAATCACCCGAAATAACACAAATGACGATTTAAAACACCTGAAATTATGTAAATATCGATTTAAAACACCTGAACTAGTATAATGTAGATAAACCCCTGAAACAGTAAAATGACGATTGATAAATAGCATCTGAAATAGTGAAAATACCTATTTAAAACACCTGAAATAGTATGAATGTCGTTTAAACATCTGAAATAGTAAAATGTCGATTAACAGCATCTGAAATAGTGAAAATACCGGTTTAAAACGCCCGAAATAGTATGAATGTCGATTAAAAATCTGAAATGGTGAATATATCGACTTAGAACACATGAAAATGTATAAATGCATATGTTAATAGCATCTGTAATAGTAAAAATGCCGATTTAAAACACCTGAAATAGTATAAATGTCGATTTAACATCTGAAATAGTAAAATGTCAATTAACAGCATCTGAAATAGTGAAAATTCCTATTTAAAACACCTGAAATAGTATGAATGTCGATGAAACATCTGAAATAGTAAAATATCGATTAACAGCATCTGTAACAGTGAATATACCGATTTAAAACACCCGAAATAGTATGAATGTCGATTAAACATCTGAAATGGTGAATATATCGACTAAGAACACATGGAAATGTATAAATGTATATGTCCTCGACCAGTACAATTAATTTAAGATAATAATAAGACGATCAGAATAAAAATTGTAAGAATCGCCGAAAAAAGCGATATTTTTCTTCTTTGTGATCATTTTTTCTGTCTATTGCAGTAGAGGTAATACCCCAACGATTCAATAAAATGTACAAATCTTGTTACGTAGTATAAAATGAAATTAATATTTAATTTAAAATAAAAGCAAATTACGTTTCTTTGCAATTAAATAGTGGTAATAATATTGGTACGTATTCGTTAGATTTTTTAATGATCGATCACAGCGCCGGGTTTGTGTCACGTATTTATTTGATTGTGTTTTGTATACTAAAGAGATTTCAATATTAACTTGTAATCAAATATCTAGAAGCATACATTTTCGCTGAATAGTTAAATATTTTGCTTTTTATTTGTTTGTTCTTTTTTTTCTTCGTTATTATTAAACTGTTGTTTTGGTTGGTTTCATAAAATATTTGAGATTTTGCGATCAATAGAAACAGGCTTGTCAACCGCGTGACTTTAAATAAAAATGTTTCCGCCTTTTCACTTCCACGGAACTATTTTCTTTAAAAGAGGTTGACAGCAGCTGGTTCTCTGTATTGAAAAGGTAAAGCGGTTTTTGTTCATTGTGAAAGAGGAACTGGCCAGGCGGTAAATCGTTTGTAGATTGGATATATTATTTTGCAATCGATTCCTATTTGTTCAAAGCTGAGTTAAAGCAAGCGTATTATGTGGGAAAGTCGAAATTTTATAAAGGTATATCAGATGTGACGGATTACATGACCAAATATATAATAAACTGCTGTAAGGTGAAGTTTATATAACCCGAGACGCTTGGCGAGACAACCGTTTTTATACATCCATACAATTTGTCAAAATTATTTGTAACGACTTGATGACACTGCTTTCTAGTCTTACTTTTGTTGAATTAATATAACAATATATTTATAAATTTGAGGCAACCGTGTATAGAGTTAACATTAATTACAAAAATTTAAGTATTATGAACTTCTTGCAAACTAAACAGTGGAAAATGGATATTTACACGGGTAAAGGGGAAAGTCAAACTCAAACACTGACAGGTTACAATAAGAGGGTCTTAACATGGAGGTCCTGGTTAACACAAGTTTGAATATACGTATACCTATTGTTAGACGACAATGAGTTATAATTATAACTCATTTCTAAAATTTAAGTAACATGTATATTTCCTATCATTGTCAATGTGAATTATCCTCAATCGAAATCCAGTTGGTTTCACTGCTTATTATAATATCTCATTTTTTTCATTTACTATATTGTCTTATGTGACGTCAGAGAGTAACCATCCGTTACGTCACATCGCATCATCACGTTTCGGCCAGCTGGCATAACCAAACGGTATTCATGCGCATACCGGATTTGTTGCACCGTATAGAGCTTACGAAATGTACAGTTTACCGTCAGCTGTCTACACCAAGAAGCTACATGTCGCTGTAAGATGACCACAATTGCGATTATCATCATTCTTTTTGTTCAAGCCACGTTTATGAAAACGATAACTGCGGCTACGAAGACGACTACGACTTCGGCCACAACTTGGACTACCTCAACTTTCACGACTGGAAGTACGACGATGAAATGCGACTTCTACGACGTTTTTGAGTACTAATACAGCTTCGACTACGACGCCGACTTAGATTTTTCTTCAACAATTTCAACAACTTCTACGAGTACGAGAACGACAACCACGACCAAGACTACTACTACAATAATGACTAAGGTCACGACTTAAGTTATAAGTTATTTTATTTGACATGCCAATCTTGAATATCGATATGCTCTCGATATGTCACATCCCGCTTAGGGTGAGATAGCAATAACATTCACCCATGACAAGCAAGATCATGTCAACGAGGCGTTTACTAATCTCCCTACAGTAGGATGTTATATTTATACATTATCATATCCGCTCCGTTGGTTATGAATATTGTCTAGAAAACAAGGTTTGAAACAAATTTATCATATTATAAAATACCATTTAAAGTTCATTGGCCTATAAAGGAAGAAATAAATTATATTGATGGTCTTTACAACCACAAAATAATTAAATATTGATGACGCTGAGATATGGAAGAGTGAGATAAATATATTTATATAGCAGATATTAAAATGTTCTAGAATAAAATATTATTATTTATTATATAAATGCTCACAGTAAACCACCAAAAACTTTATCATTTTTTTCAAACAGTTTTTATGAATATCTAGCTTAAGGTCTTCAGCGTACCCGTTTATATACTATGACATGACGTGAACGCTGAAGACAACCCCGTAGGGAAAGTCCACCAATAATCGTGCCAGGAATCAGACACGCTCGTATTCATTCATCGAACATGCCATGAAGTAAAGTGAAGCATGCCTTGGTAAAACTATATATAATCTGTTGATAAGCCAAGGATGGACAAATAAAAATCTTATTATGAACATAAACTACCTAATAGTTTCCGGCAGGTAAAAATTTCGGCACTTGGCCGCCATATTGCCAAAATGTTTGACCACGTGATTACGAGATTGACCTTTACGAACCCATGTGCTTACAATATTTTAATAAATTACTTTTTTTAAAGATATTGAAAAAGGTGATTTACTGACTTTTATATTCAACAAAAACATATTTAAGTACTAAAAAATTAATGAAAATAAATAAAAACATTATCTTGAAATCATGTCAACAAAATGTTCTAAATATAGTACACGACTCTATTCAAATCTGTTCCCGCGAATGACGTCATACGAGATCTCGCGTGGCACCTGAATGTCATGGCCGACTGTAGTCGGCGTAAATTGATGTTTTACAGTTAAATACATGAAATAGGCAATTTTAATGACGGTATTAATATTTTGATACTTTAATTGGTATAGAACGATATTAAAATGATTGTTTTATCGTAAAATGCACAATTGATTGGGTCAAGTGTATTTGCAAGTGAAAAATAAGAATAAATCACCTTATGTTATTCTGGTTAGGTTTCGTAACGGGTCTAATCCATAACTTTAATGCCGCATCAGATGAAAAACAAAAATGTTAAATAGCGGCTTATAAAGTTTTGGAAGCCAAAACTAATGAATATCCAAATGATATATTTCTATTGTTTTTATAAATATTTAAAATACAATAGGACAATGTGCCCTTTGTAGACCAATTCTCTTTAAATAAATGGAATAAGCAATTTCTATTTTGGACAAATTGGTGTTATGTAATTTATGTATAATATTATATGGATATAACTCACTACAGTGTTTGAACGTTACTTACAGACGCGTGCGGAAATCATGATCACAAAGAAAGAAAATGCCTCTTTTTTTCGCCAATTTTTACATTTTCCGTCTATTATCGTATATAAATCGGTGTGAACGTTTTAAAGTTCAATCCGTGGGTGAAAAGGCGATATTTTTGCATTTAATCATTCAAGCGCCTTTTTTTTATTTTATTTTTTATATTTATACATTTTAGGAACATAGCACAAGATACATAATATAAAATCATACAGTTAAGAGATAACATAAATAAATCATATATATAAAATGAGATCATAAAACAGCATAAAAGAGCACACTTTTGTCATAAAAAATAAGAGGTACTATGCACCTATGGATAGCCCATTAAGCTAAATGCTTATTTCCAATGGGGTCCATAGAAATAAAAAAAAAACTAACATAATTTTAACCCTTTCCCCCCCTAAAAAACAAACAAGATAAAAAAATAAAAAATATAAACTAACTAACTTTGGTCAAAATTTAGGTTGAAAAAGGAAATATATTTATAAAAGTATGCCCTTTTTAAAATAAGCCTAGTATTACTATCACAGAAATATTTGATCACAGTGCCTAACACATTAGTTGTACACATATATATCTTCTGAAAGACTTTTATAGCTTTCTAGTAGGTACTTTTTAACAGATTTTTTTGTATTGCACAAAATTATTAATGGATTTTATATATTCTGGCAGATCATTCCAGTCTTTAATTCCATTATAATAAAAGGTCTGTTTCATCACAGAATTACACTGGGGGACAATAAAATTAAAATTGCTTGATCTAGTATTGTAAAATCTTGCATCAGCACAACATCTAAAGTCGGCTCTAAGGTATGATGGACTCTTTTTGTAAAAAATCTTATACATATGATTTCGTCTTAACTGTTTGACTCTGTTTTCTACATTTAACCAATTTAATTTTTCAAACTCATACACTGTTACAGAAGTTCTGGGCGGTAAGTTTTGGACAAATCTTAATACCTTATTCTGAGTAATTTGTAACTTTCTTTTTAAATGTTTTGATAAACCTTCATACCAAGAGGAACAAGAGTAGTCAAAATGACACTGAATCAGGGCTGAACATAAAAGCTGTTTTGTATTAGTATCTAAAAGTCTGCTCTGCCTATATAAAAACTTGAGCTTGGCATTCACTTTAGAAATAACGTTATTAACAATAGTTTCCCCAGATAAATCACTATTGATATAAAGACCAAGATACTTGACTAAATTATACTTGTCCGGTATTTAACGGAATACGGTATATAGAGAGGTGCTCCAACACGTTTTTTAGTCTCATATAATATAATGCTAATGTAATATAACTTAAATGAGAGTTACAGAAATGACAGATAATTTATACTAAAATGCCATCTTCAAATATAACTGTTCATGCTTAAGAAATTATTAAAGGAACTCCACTCCGATACAATGTACAATTAGAAAAATAGATCAGCTTGGGCAGTTAAAACAGAATATTCAAAAGTTATTCAGAAAAATACTCAGAACTAGATTGAAAATCGTATTTTTTACCTCTTTTTATTTAAGAGAAAAATCGTTGCAACGCTTTTCATTTTTTTTGTTTATTTTTCACAGTAAGAATAGTAATTCTGGAAAACGGAGGGAGAGAATGGTCAGACATTTTGCAAATAAGTTATTTGTCGCCTAGAAGTATTTCAAATGGAAAATTAATCTCGGAAAATTATTTCCGAGTCCCGTCATGTAAAAAATCAGTGGAGTCCCTTTAATATTTCATTCTCAAAACGTTGTATAAAAGAGTGATACCTTTCTCTGGTCGCACTAAAGATGTGATCATAAAACAAAACGCCATACACATTGAAAATCCAAGAATTTGTTTAATTAATTTTATCCGAAACATTTTTAACTTATACTTCGACTGATATCTTGGTCTCTTTCGTCCATACATTCGCACCCAGGTCTTCACAATAACTGCGTCATATGGCGTTCATTGTAGCGCATGAAGCCACGTAGATCTAGTAACGGAAATCGACACCAACATCAGGAGTGCTAAATACAAAGAGAATAACACGAGAACAAACAACAAACGCAACATAAACAAAAATGCAGACAATTATCCCATTCATAATTTTCGATTTTTTTCTCTCTCTGCAATATGTCCTTTTAAAGAGGATGGTAATTGCTACATAACCATGTTGAAACTATTTATTTGGTCATCGTATGTACATGTATATACTGCTCTATAAAATGCCCATACATATCTGGAATTTTCATTGGCTGACACGACTTTTATATAAACCAATTTATATAGTAAGCCAATTTACCCTCTTAAACACCATTGTCATCTTCGTACGTGAATATGTGTAATTTAAATAGCGGACCCATTAAGGCAATACAATGAACAAGTCACTACCGCCAGATGTCCGCATGCCATTGACGTATCCCGGTGTGGTAATTTTGTTCTTACTCTTTATAAACTGTTCGAAATATTATTAGAAGCACCTTCCGGAGCAAGTAATGACTTACCCTCCGGTGAATTTGCAAAATAGCCTGTGGAATAACTTGTGGTATCATGATTATGACAACATAAGGAACTGGGTGCTAGCCCCAGACACATGGCCGCCAGATGGACGCGTGGCAAAGGCCTGTTACAGTTTTCGACGGCGCAGCAATTTCGACTTCGGTATATATACGTGTTTTTAAAAAAAACTACGCAAGGTCCATTGTAACTCACTTCTTGGATTAATTTCGTTGTGGTTTCGTCGGCGTAATAGCTTGGAGGCTCTTTTTCATGACAATTTGAGACTAAAAACTTGGCCTACAGATGCCCGCATGCCAACGGATTTTATTTCTTTATTTAAAATTAACGAATTTTCACAAAAGCACCATTTATTGGAGCCTACCGTGACTTACACATAGATCCGATTTTATTGCAAATAACAAATAAGCTATTGCAAAAGCTTCGAGTCCCTTTACGGCAACATCAGACATTTTGCGTTAGCATACGAAATATAGCCATCAGATCCCCGAATTGCACGGACGCTTAAGACGCTCGGCGATTTCTTTGATAGTATATGAATTCCACGTATTTTTATATAAAAAAAAGATACATGATCTTTAGGAGGCCACTGTTAGCTACCAATTGGCCTGATGTCGTTTCAAATTAACCAGTGCAATAGCTTTTGAAGCTTATTTTTAAGCAATATGTCAAGCGGCGGTAACCCACAGCGTTGCGTATTGGCCTGTGCAATTGTTTGGAAGCTCATCTTCATGTCAATATCAGACACCTAGCCTCAGAAACATAGCCGTCAGATACTTGCATGACAACATGTTTTTACCGGTACGGTGATTTGTTCTTTAATAACCATAGCGTAATAAAAAGTTATCGCACAGCTAGCACATTTTGGCTTCTATGGAAGCTCGTTCGATCCTCGGACGACGTGACACCGATGAATTAGATATTTTAGGGATGAGTTGTCGGTTACTTTTGGAGAACTTGAATAACTGGTTAATTATCCAGGAAAACCGGTTCGACAATAGACATGCACATGAACAGATAAAAATGTTGTCTGACTTATGAATGTCGACAGGACATTCCTTTGCTGTCTAGATCTATCGCTTCGTGAATGTTAAGCCACATTGTGTTTTACCCGCGTTTGATCTTTACACGATATAATACAATGTAACATGTGCAAGGTACCTCGGTGTTCAACCTCAATCTTGATATTGATCGGATATTCGTTCTTGTTTTTATCATTTATTTAGTCTTCTTTCAAACCACCCTGTCCGTGTATTGGATGCTTTGTAAGGTACTTTGTTTGCAACCGGTCGAATGTGTAATGTTGTAACACATTTATTGTGTGTATAGCTTTCATATTTTAATTGAAAGTAGAAATTGTTTCACTTACGAGGTTAAGCTACCTACAAGAAATATTCTGGAAGAATGATTGTGTATAAACGAACCTTGTTCGTATGCAACTTAAAAATACTTGACGGATAAGCGTCTATATTTTACGCAGAGCGCACTTACAAACTCTCTTGCATAATTTCACTAAGCTACAAGACAGGAAAAACAATTCCTACTAATTTTCCTAACATTCCACCAAATAAATTTTCCCTGCATGTATACATGGGAAAAATGCATTTTTATTTCGTCTTTGTTGAAATTAATTCGGGTCTGATAAAGCTCATGTATGTGTTTTTCTTTGCTATTTATATTTATGGCTGCTTTGGTATCACTTTTCGCGATAAACAAGAGGATTTTTTTAACCGGAAGTAAACATTCGTATGTCAAACAAAGCCTTCTATTTTGACAGTCCATGAGTTTTTACTGTTGTTTATTGGGCATCATTGGCCTTTTTAGGAGATAAAAAAATACCGTACTAATAATTCATTTTCAATATTTGTGTTTGAAATTTAAACCGTCGTGTGGTGTTATTAAATGGCAAAATTTTTATGTATCGGTAAAGTCGGGTATTTTGTGACGTTCTCGTAGAAATCAAATTGAAAACGTGAACGGTAACAGTACGTAAAAAAGTAAAAAAACAAAACAAGAATAAAGATCAACAAGGCAAAAGAACGAAACAATGCGATTGGTATGTTATAGTAATACCCCGCTTACATTACAGATGGCAGCGCCCATCAAGAAATGATATTGAAAAATTCATTGATAGGTTTAGAATCCTATATATCTTTAATTGTTTTTTTAATTGATTTAATTTTAATTTTAAATATACACGTGTAGTCTTTAGCCGGACAAGCCAAAACCCGGACCCGCTTCGCGGCCCTGGCCTTTGACCCGTATAACTTCTGGCAACTACGTGAGAGATGTGCTTGCCCATATGGCTCATTCCGGTAAAAGAACCAAACAAACATGCGCCAGGGAATCGATTATATGGTTCGGTGGTCATTACTTCGTGTCATTGGGTGATCGCAAGTTCGAGTCCCACCCACGGTTGGATTTTTTTTTCTGATGCATTTGCATTCTTAAAATGTTTAAAAAAAAATCTATTTACAAAGGGTTTATATGTCAGTTTGTGGCATAAAACATATGTTTCATCCCTAACTGATCTGCAAGTTTTACAATTACACGGTTATATACATAGTAACATGTCGCTTTTGTGCTTTGTCTTTTATGTGAACCTTGGTCTTGATATTTTTGTTTTATTATTCAAAATGAATGTGATCAAGCGGAACGCTTAAGGGCGCTAGTGCGAGTGCCCGGAATAATTTGTTAGCAAACGATTAAATATGTATTTTTTCTATACATGTGCATTGTGTTGAAATTGTGCATAATTTTAATGATGAATGAAAGTAATTGTTTTGTATATGAGAGTTTGAAATAACTGCAAGAATTAATTTTTATTTTAAACTTCATTGCTATGCAACGTCAAACTATTTGATATACATGTACCAGTTTTAATAGAAAGCAAATGGGAATTTCATGGTGGATATGCTATACAGCATTTAAGAGATGGCATAATAAATCATTATTTGTGATACCTTTTAAGCATTTTATTCATCTAGTTATCTAAGAATTTTAAAATGAGTTCAATTTCTCGACATTGTTGTTGGGTTTCAAGTGACACCGACATTGTAACACATATGGCGATTGTCTAGCGAAGTTGGTGGAATAAGTCTAAGGTACACACCTTGCAGTATTTCAGGCACGCAAGGGAATCTAAGAGAACCACCGACATGTTATAATTATACTCTAGCTGGATAGCTTCCACACGAATGAACTTGGGTACGTAAAGCCCCTAACGGGTGTCGAATCCACTGCGATAAATGGGAGGGATTCAGGCAAGAGGTTTGAAGTCAACGCCAGTAACCACTCGGCCATGAAAGTCTCATAAATACGACGACGTAGAAGTTTTATGACAAACTCTTGAAGTTCGACAAACACTTAAATCGGTGTTGAGTCGAAAACCGAATTCAACCGGAGTTGGTTTAGAAACAATCTCTTGTGGCTTTACATACTTAATAAATTTCAGAGTGTTCTAGTACCTGGCAGTACTCGTGATTTCAGTAACAACTTCTCTTCCAGAAATTCTGTACAGTACCACATCTGCAAAAGAATTGCTGGCTTTTTTTTACTTTTATGTTCAGGGTCACGTGCATCGATATGCTGAAAGCCTTACTTATGCGTCTAAATTGTATATCATGTCACATGCAAGGCTAATTCATTAAAAAAGTGATATAATTGAATAATGAGTAAAACTATGTAATATACCTTAACAAAAGGGTACTTTTTACTGTTATTTACAACATTATGTTGGCATATATAATTAAATCAAAATGTATTACAATAAAACTACGGACAATAATTTATGTTTAAATCGGCTCCACGACAGAGGAAAGGTATGGAATTACATCATTTTATGTTAACAACGACTCCACGACCTGTTTGTTTCATAAAAGGTGAAGAAAAAAAAAATAAAGAAAAAAGATAAATAGATAAAAAAGAACATCGGATTCAGCTCATTAATTACCGTAGCATAAAATACCAGATGCTGATACGGCATATCATATATAACCACACAAATATGAAACTAAAATATCGCAAGCCAGTTAAAGTAATGCTTTCGTTATAGGAAGAAACGGGTTTTGGTTATGATGTTGACGTTTCTTGTACTGTAAATCAATAATGAATATTAAAAAGAAAAATATGATCCAAGTTTATTTTCAATACGAACTGAGCAATAAAATGAATAGCATAATTAACAATAATCTTAGCAAGTATATAAATACATTTTGTATTTTTTTTATACTGATGTGTCATTAATTTTTGGTGAATATTAATACTGATGAATATCAAAATGCATAGATATTGATTAATTGCATTATTTATAAATTTATTATAATTTTGTGAATATTTGTATGGATGAATATAAACATTGATTAATATGAATATGGACTGATATAAATATTGATGAATATTAATATGAATGAGTATGGTTATCGTTGATTAATAAAAGTAATAATAACCCAGCAGGCACATCAACGTTGTTTCAACGTTGAATTATGGTCAGATTTCAACGTTGAAATAAGGTTGGATTTATATTCGGATTTGAAAGTTGAAACAACGTTGAAATTTCAACGTTGATACAACGTTGCAGCTTCAACGTTGGCACAACGTTGAAGTTTCAATGTCATTTCAACGTTGAAAACCCACCATACTTTAATTTTTGGATATAAAGCAAAGTTACCAAGTTTAACAAAATATCAAGACAATATTAAAAACTTCAGATGTTTTATTTCAAAAATACAGTTCAAGTGCAGCTTAAATTCACTTTAATACATGTAGTTTTAATTAAACTACAATCTGTTCCAATCTTTTCTTCTAGACCTTTCTGGGTATGTCAAGTGTTTGAGTACTTCTTTGGCTGTCTCTTACTGCTTCTGCAAATAAAAATAAGAAGTTTGTAGTTAAAAGTGACTTGGTCAATCTCAAATTATACATATAATTACTCAACTTAGTGATTTGTTTTTATCTTAAAATGCTTTTCTCTAAGATTTACATCATAAAACAGCATAGAAATTGAAATATAGCTAAGTCATATTGACAGCAAATACTGTATATAAGACAACAAAATCTTTTTAAAAAGAAGCTATTTAAAGTCTCACCTATGATTGGTAAGAAAAAAACTGCTCCCCGTCAGTTCCTTGCAGCATATTCCCCAAGAAATTAACATTCTGGCTCTAGCTAAGACCATTTTAAATACAGCATCCTGAAATCAACAAACATGTAAATTTTATATAAATAATGTTACACGAATATTCCGAAAATAATATATTTTAAGACTTGATAAATATCCAGTAGTTGAAAAATTTATACTTTGTATTGAAAAGAAATTCAAATATATAAATGAATAAGAATAAATTTCAATTTAACAAACCTGACAGTCCTTTTCATGTTGAATGCATGGTATACAGGCTACAGCTGCAATACTCTAAATTTCAACCAGGACCAGGATCTAGAATATAAAATAATATATAATAAAATAGAAATAGATTTATAATTTATTATTCCCCATAAATTTACGACTATTAAACTCTAAAGTTTAACACTCAAATTTGTTATTTAACTTAATAATAATGTATTTTTTAAACTAATTAACACTGTATTATACTATCACTAAAATATAAACATAGTTATATATATTGACGAATCGTCTTGGGACGTAAATTATGTGGGCCGAACTACTTTATAGGTTTCAATTTTATAATTGATTAAATTCTAATTAGGATATATTACAGACAATTGTATAATAATATGAAAAAAAATTAAAGAAATACAAGATTTTTAAAATCACAAATTGCCAAGTAGATCTACATCAATAACTTCATGCTTACAAGGCCTACCGATCCCAAATCTTTCAATTAGGTCGCGAAAACTTGTCAAATCAACTCAATCATGTGTTTTCATCTCTCATTTATTTCATAAATTAAAGTAGAATTTTAAGAATAAATAATAATATTTTAGAAAATAATCAGTAAACGAAAGTAAAACATTACGGTAGTACCTCCGAAATCCAAATAAATTGCCAATCGTGTTGTTTTTAAATTTTCCAAACAGCGCCACCATTTGCACGAACGATAATCATAGACAACAAACAAAATCATAGCCGCAACAATTACTTCCCCTGACCAGCGTTATTTTATAAACGGGGTTTTGACTAATATCAATTTATTAATAAATATTATTCATAAAGAACTAAAAAATAAAACAACAAACCACAAAACATATTAACTAATATTTAAAGCGATAATAGAAAGTGAAAAATTATTTCCAACTTTATTTGTTTCAGCGCTAATTTTGTATATACGGAAAAAAGATTGTAACGCAAATTTTACTGACAAAAATCACTTACAGACTAATTCAATAAAGGAATAATAACACAAAATTAGTGGTATAAAAGTTTATATAATGATTAAACTAAATGTAAAACTTCGACCATAAACAACGTTGAATCAACGTTGTATATACATTGGCTATATATCCGTATGGTCGTCCGTAGTTGAATATTGGTTGAACAACGTCACGACCATATTTCAACGTTGTTTCAACGTTGAAACAACGTCGAGTGCCTGCTGGGAAGCATCATTGTTGATGAATATTTATACTGATTAATATTGAAATTGATGAGTATTGCTATTGATTTATGTATTATCATTGCTCGTTTGATGTATATGTTACAATTAGGGGAGATAAAATTCAAATAAAATTAATCAGAACTGTAAGCATCTAATCAATAATGTTATCTTTACATGAGGAATATATTTATGACCATTATTCTAAAGAGGAAATACTTTTTATCATAATGTATAAAAATTTACGATAAATTTAAACAGGAATTTTAAGGTACGGAAATCTAACATACATGTATGTAAAATTAACTTTACGAGGTAACTAACGCAGGTGTCTTTCCTAAAACATTGTGATTTGACTTCCCCTAATCCAAATACTTAAAATACTTCATTCAATAGGAAGACATTCTTAAAGAAAAGAAAAGAAGAAAAAAACACACACACACATACACACACAAAAAAAAAAACCACAAACAACAACAATAACAACAACAACAACAAAAATAAAACAACAACAACAACAAGTGTAATCTTTAAGAACCCAATATAACTGCAGTTTACGAGCCCTCAAGAATTCGGCCATGATATGGTATTGTAATATAATGAATTTATTTTATCATTAAAGTGGATGCATATTTGAGTTTATGTACAGGGCTATAACTTATAAAATGAAGTATTAAACTTGTCCTTCCCACACAGATTACCGACATTACGATTGTGTACACTTTAAACCCGTCCACCAAGTGGTACAGGATCTGTTGGTGGTAGATGAAACGTTAATTACATCGTGGAGGAAAATGAGTTTGCATAGATTTACGACAGAAATAAACATAATTTACTTTACAATACAGCGATACATCTTTTTTTCAATGTTTAATATTGCCACGTAATGTTCATAAAAAAAGAAAAAAAAGAAAAGAACAATTAAATTGCCGAAAATACCGTGATCTCAATTACATGCACGTGAACGAAGAGGAAGTGTTTCGATATATATAGTCATTATTTTACGAAATTTTATACGTTTTCTGAATTAAAAATACAAAATAAAAGATAACACGCCAACAAGATCTAGTTTCAGGAAAATTTTCTGTTTTTGCTTATAACTTGAGCGTAAGACATATCTTATTCCATACAAAAGTGCGGACACTGGTACAAAAGAGATAAAATTGACATAATATGTTTATTTTGTTTACTAAATATGTGGATTTCAACTAAAGTTTTTTTTGTTTTTTTTAAAAAGGACGCTTGTTTGAGTTAAATGAGGCGCTGCCTACATGTACATGCAACAAATTTAAAAACATTACATGATTTACAGGAGCAAAACAAATACACATAGCAAAATAATTTGACATGGTCAAGGGGCTTAGAATGACTAAAACTATCAAATTGCAATTATTAATCAATTCACGTCATAAATACCATTTTGCCCTTGCTAATATGATCAATATCCGAGGCATTATGTGCATTTAATATCCGTGCACTTTGAAAAAAATGCAATATTAATTATAAAGTAGTTCGCTAGTGCAAATTGTTTGTTTATTTAAGTATTTTTATTTTTTTTTTCAACTTAACCAAGTAAAATTTTTGTAAGAAATGTTGCGCATGTCTGTAATTTAAACCGTTTGTTTTGTGTGTTTTTTTTATAGTTTTAATCAAACGTACACCGTATTATAATTCCAGGGTAAAAGATACAAAGGTATATAATCGTGTATATAATGTTTATTTCATTCAAGTGCATGATATGTAAGCAAACAAAATGAACATAATTCAAAATAAACGCATAATTATATAGCAGAACATTTCTGGTCAAAATGTTCATATAAAACATAAAGAAATGTAAATAAATAATGTTTATCACATACCCGTGCCGATTTTGCGACACTGTAAAAACGATACCACACGGTCGTGCATATAATTATTTTGTCTCAAAAGACGTCATTTGCATTATACAAACATAGTGTAAAGACGTGCTAAATGTTAGCGTTACACTATATAATACAAAATGATTCTTTTTCCCCCATTTAAAACTGTCTTTATTTTGGGTCTGTGATAAATGAAATATTATAATCTTGTTCATTAGTAATAGTTATAGTACATGAAACGAGTTAGTTACGAGGATATAACACTTATATATTTATTTTATTTTATTCCATTTTTTTTTATTTTTTTTTTTTGCTACTGGGAATGGTCGTTACCACTGCCCCATTGGAGCCTCTATGAAAAAGAAACTGCATTGATATATACAAGGTGCGAAAAAAAACTCAACCGATATATAACAGTTGAGTTTTTTTCCTATATGAATCAATGAAAAACTGTACTGTTATATATCAATACAGTTTTCAAATGCTCATTGAAGTGTACTGAGTATAATGGGTTAGTAAGAACAAAGGAAAAATTCCAAACCATGCGATAACTGCATTTATTGAACTCCTTGAATAAAATAAAAATATGCTCGGGGCTCGTATAATATTATTTTATTCAACTCGTTCAATAAATTCAGTATTAAACTTACACCCATTCAATATCCTCTACAGTATTATACAATAATGATACAAGGACTGAATCTAACAGTCAACACGGACAAAACTAGATCCGCTAGTCTCTGAAAATAAACGCAACGTTTTTACAAAAATAAAATAAAAATACCTAACAAAGTTATTCATTCATATGGTAGTACTCTAATATAGATTCTTCAATCTTTCTCTCCTCTATCTCTCGAACTAAATCCGAATTCGAATTAGCAAAGGCAATCCCAATTAACTGAGGAATGACACCGACAACTACGATAAAGATCACGTGCATAACTTCGGAAATTTCCGATGTGGGGCCACTGGCGTAATTTGACGAAACGCTCAATGTAATATTAACAAAAGCTATCATAAGGGACACTCTATAGAGCAAGGCGAGGAATTGTATATGCACCGGGCGATGCTTTTGCACCAAATAATCAAATAGACCTTTCGGGATCCCATAAACGTGGTTTTTCTTCCTTAATTTGCACGTTTGATGAAAATCCCGGTTTAGAGTCAATTCTGGGGAGTTGTCATTCAATACTGTTCCATTAATGTTTATTCCTTTCAAAGTCTCACATTTAATATTTGAAATATTTATGTAGCCATCTTCTAGAGTGACGCGGAAAGGTTCTTCTGATAACTTTTTAGATATATCAATCGCAGATGTCAGCAACTCGGCATAAACGTCACTGAAGTTTCTGATCTTCTTGATAAAATAATAAAGGACAATGACAATGAAGAACAGATATCCGAATGAAACTGAGGGGTAGATTATAACCGCAATAAAGCACAATGAAAGTATTTGTGTTATCAGCCCTACGCTTGCAATAAACATCAGGCACACTATGTAAGCCAGCAGGGTGAACATACAAGACACAGTTAATACCCCAACAACAATGAATGGCTTGTTGCTAAAGATAAAAGAAAGAACCCTGCCTTGATCTCGCAAATATCGAAGAGACTTAATAGCACCCTTAACCATAACAACTAGGAAAAAAAAGAACGGTGTTCCGTAATAAAGAATACAGACAGCAATTTCAATAACACAAAATGCAAAGTAAAACGGCAAAACAAATATACAAAAAACGCAGAAACAAAACTGTGTTTGCTCATTAATGCAAGATATTCTCCTTGTTTGAATACGCCAAACTCGAGTCCAGAATTTCGTTGTAAACAGAAGACAAAAACTACATTTCATAAGAGAAGCCCCTTTGGTGTATCCTGTTTCTAACTGCTCTTGTTCAATTTTTATCTTTGACATTCTTATTATTTCTTTGTAGCCAAAGAAAAGAGGGGATGGTATGTACAGGTTTGAATTTGGTAAGCCGTCCTCAACCACTTGCTTTACACAGCGAGGTAACACAAGAAACAGTATGCTGAAAGCGTAATAAATGATGCTAATGATTAACCCTCCTCCAAGACCAGGGACAAAAGTTTTATATTCATTCCTTGGATCATACCATGTTGCGTGAAACCCCATGGGTGTACCAGCTTTGATTATGTCTTCTACAGAAATCTTTTTAAACCACAAGCCAAAGCCTGTACTAAACCACGCAACTTCGATAAAAATTATTGAAGGTGCAATGAGAACAAGTAATAATCGACGTAGCCGTGAAGTGAAAATTGGATACTTATCATACATTCCAAAAATTTCAAAACTGAACAAATCGTAAAATGTCAAAGGAGACTGTTTCCCATCCGCGTAAATCCAACTGTTTTCGTCTTCAATTAGTTGGAAACCCTCAACACTTCTGTCATTATTAAAGACACTTTCACTTCCTATTGCCGCATCTCGTTTAGATAGCCATGCAAAAAACTTGAATAATGGTATTGGAATAAATGCAATTATCAAAAAAGTTAAAACTGCAGGCAAATGTGATGTTTGTGTCCAGGTGTGCATGCCAGGGATTTCCCCCTCGGGACATGAAGACCTATATTCTTCTAAACTATAGTCAAAATGTACTGTACAACATTTGTAACGTATGTAAGAACATGGATACAGTAAATACTGTGCAGCATAGTACCTGAGAGTGCCACGTAGATTGTAATCAGCAACAAGATAGCAAAAATAACTTTCACGATATTTTAAAAACTCGTTTACTTGTTCATTCGATTTGACTAACGATTTAAGAGCTTCTGCAATTAAATTCGACGTGTTACTTGTGCCTAATGTTAGATCACAGCTTCCGGTTACATTAAGTGCAATATATGGAATATGAATAGTTTTTGCATCAAGAAGACCAAAGCTGAGGAGTCCATAGTCTAAATTCCACGATATAAACGGAAGAGGTCCAACTGATGTATTATATGTCCAAAACCACCGTAAACCTTGAAACACTTCTTTTGCAGAAGAATGTTCTTGTTTTGGAATGAATGATATATTGAATTGAACAAAATGCGGTTCATTTTGAAGAAGTTTGCCCTGGAAGTACCGGATACTTCGATCCTCTACCGATATTTCACATTCGGGTATGTCGTTACTTTGTGTCTCACTTACTTCTAATCCAATCTCTTTGTTTTTATGCAAAGCATCTGATGGAGTTATTTGTTTAGCGTTTAACCTGTTTGCATCATCAAATTCTTCACTCCTTTGATCAAATTCTAATACATCCGTATTTCCTGGTAAACTGATTTCTGAATCTTTTAGCTGCTTCGCTCCAGTGATTTTGTTGACGCTTTCAAGTGTAGCATTGCTACGTTTTATGTAAGTTGATGGTAGCGCTGCAACTAAGCATCCTACCAACAGCAGCCCAAGCAAGATATGCATTTTCAGATGTTTTATCCTGCAAAAAATAAGCATAAATTGAATTGGTTAAGCAGGGTGATACAGATTATGTACTTGATGTTTTGGTATAGAAGACGAGTATCAATATGAACGTTGAGTTTTATTCAGATAACAGAACATACAATAAGTGTTGCGGCCAATCACCGTTGTGTCTACAAAATGTTTATTTCACATTTCATTAAATTAACAGCAATAGTTTTAAATTGTGCCTTTCAGAAAAAGGAAGTGACTTGTAAAATTTTAACGGATACGATTTTAAGAAACGCCCAGACATTGTAAATATTAATATGTTTTATGTCGTTTTTTTTTTCAATTATTTAAGTAAAATTATTTTTCCAACATAGTCACTTTAAAAGAACAAATGATAATAAATGCAACATATATGTTTAACTTATTTTTTCCGTGTTAGTTCACGGCAGCTTCTGGAGCTCGGAGACTGGATCGAAAAGGAATTTGCAGAAGCGTGCTCGGTTTATATACCCAGTCTACTAAGGATGCGCGAACGAGATTGAATGACTTGTTAGGAGGAGGAGCCAAATATACAGGTCATTGCAAAAATACTGTGACGTATAGTGTAAAAATAAAGAGTTTAAACTTAAGCGCTTAAACTGAATATTATACGAATTCTATGACATTGTTAAAAAAATATTTGTTTTTCATATTATGAATTTTCATTGGCCAGAGACCTTATTAAAAATAAAATTCTATTCTGTTCTGTAACAATATAAATTGAAATCGTTTGTCGAGTTATTCATGACATTTCGTTTCGTCACAAAAAGCTATAAAAAAAGTTGAAAACACTGATGAAAAACAACCCTAGTTGTGTTGCAATACAAGGATTTTTCTTTTTTGTTCTTTTTTTCTCATTCACAAAACTACACAACACGACGTATTCTCTGTCTAATAATATGTCACAATACAAGTTGTATAAATACAGACACTTGTGTATACGTGGTGCAATTTGATATAATTTGATATAATTTGATACATTTGTGATGCATGTTAAATTCATTTAAAATGGCTTGGTTTGTTTATGCCGCGACACTACAGTTTTTTCGTGATTTAATATAAGTTACATATTATGTCATGTCAATTACCTATAGCTACCTGCACCCGTACAGTATATGGTATGTAAGTTTATTTCCAATAGAAACACCCTGTTAGTTTGTTCCCAAAATGAAATTTTCCATATTCACCACTCTTAGGGTAGTGTTAACTTAGACGAAAACACGTCAATTTCATTTACAGAAAAATCGTTATTTTTTGCACGGATGAAGGCATCTAGCCGAAACACTTACATTAAATAATTACAGAATGGTCGTGTTTGTGTGTCGTTTTTGTTACTTACAAAACAGACAATTATTTTTTCAAATATGCGGAATTATGAAGATTAAATATTTGCTCGTTTCGTGTATAAATCGTTCGTAACTCTTTTAAATTTCAGTATTATAGGGAGTAGATGTCGCAAAATTGTAATATCGATACAAAGCAACTAAATTAACCGACAACCGATCTTTGTTAAACTTACAAAAGAAACAATCGGGTTTATTTCATTCAGGATACTTTCCTTACGTAACTGCTGCATTCTAAAAATGTTATAAAGACTAAGGTGTAGACATAACGTAGATTTATTTTACCACCCTTAAGCACTTATTGTAAGGATTTCATGCTGAATCGCCTGGGAATCGAACCCGGTTCACAGCCCAACGGTTTCTACCTATTGATTTTACCAGACGGTTACAAATATGACGTGAACAGATGAGCTACCAACCTGTATCTTAATAAAGTCTATTCAAACCGAAATGTATTCATCCCGAAATCTCTTTCCTTTGAAGTATTATCTATATCAGTTATAAAAGTCACAGCGTCGGGTTGTGCTATTGCCAATAATAAATGCTATTTTTAGCAAGTAATTTAATTCTATTTTAATGTCACCAGCTTATTTTATGACTACATATCAACTGAGATTACCATGGTTATGTAATAGTTATAGTATATGAAACGAGTTAGTTACGAGGGTATAACACTGGCTGGGGCGACATCAAGGGGTGTTTCTGCTAAAAAATGGCGAGGCCGTTAGGCCGAGACATTTTTTTGCAGAAACATCCCGAGATGTCGCCCCAGCCAGTGTTATACCCCCATAATTAACGAGTTTCATATACTATAACTGTTTTATCGCAATGGCATAATGTTTTCTTTTTTTGTAAAAGAAACAAAATAAATAAATTAATCGTTAGCTACATTACAGTTATTTATCATAAGGCAGTTTTTCAAGTTGTTTTCGCTGCCGCAAAAAAAAATATACAAAAGACATCCAATATTGACCTTTTCGAAAACCTAGCTAAACACCGTTTTCCGGTACGTTACCGTTTTAGCTCTGGGGAATTACATCAAATGAAGTACATAACACAGTTACGTGATATTTCGATTTTTCTATCATTATTTAACCGTTTAAGGTGAAAAAATTGATGTTTTTGAAAATTATCAATATTCCTTTAATATCTATTCCAAATTATTCAAAAAAATAAATTGTTTATAATGAAAATCAATAAAATTCAAACAGACGTAGTGGAATCTTCCATAATAAATAAGGTTATTTTGTGCGTTAACTTGTGTATTTACTTTATTTTTTGTATGGAATTATTCATACAATGATATCTAATTATTTTCTTATAAAGAAATAATTACTTTATTTCAATTTGATTTTAAAAAAGGCCGAAAACATCGAGTTCGCTATTACACTCCATTGGGTGAATTCCCCAGAGCTATGTACAGAAAGTACCGGAAAACGGCGTTTAGCTAGGTTTTCGAATTCGTGAATAAGAGGCGGATTGTATATACTGTTACCAAGATTGATTTAAGATTAAAGGGCTTTTTTCATTTCATTAATTATCTTTGTTTATATTTTTCATTGTATTTATATATTTATTTTATTTTATTTTATTGATTTCATTTTTTATTATCTTATGGGTTTTTTTTGCTACTGGGAATGGTCGTTACCACTGCCCCATTTGAGCCTCTATGAAAAAACTGTATTGATATATACAAGGTGCGAAAAAAACTAGACCGATATATAACAGTACAGTTTTTTTCCAATATGAATCAATGAAAAAACTGTACTGTTATATATCAATACAGTTTTGAAATGCTCATTGAAGTGTACTGAGTATAATGGGTTGGAAAGAACAAAGGAAAAGCTCACAGCCATGCGATAAAATAATGTAAACATTGTACTATGGAACAGAATTAGTGCATTTATTCCATCTTGCTTTATGATATCGGGACTTACATTATGCTTGCTTCTATACTTCTTTATGACAATGAAAACCTGCGTTTTGCTGAATTCAATCATGCCTTGTGATTACTGAATGCACTTTCATGTAATTGCAACCTTATGTGTTCCCTACTAAACACATATTTTAATATGCTATATGTTTAATTGCATCTTTTATTAAGGACAACGTATTATGTTTGGTGTTTAAGATAACATTCTTTGCTTGTTCTTGATATAACTATATGTAACATGGTAAGTTTCTGTCAGTACCTTTATTTGCTATAAACCTGCCACTTATATTGTCGACATTATGTCACAATAAATTATTAATTTTGATCAATAATTGGCGAATTTGATGTGTCTTAGCATTCATATGCTTCAATATATTCACTGATTACAAATATAATGCAATACATGATCAATGCGCATCGACAACGAAGATGACAACGATAGCGATATTATAGTCGCATGTGACAGTATGCACTAAGCAGTTGGCAGAAAGCATAATGCGAGTTGCAATAATTTGTGTTCATATTATGACAGCAGGTGTCGCTTTGTCGGTACATCCCGTTATTTTCCGGATGATCCCGTATTTTGGCACGTGGAGTAAAACAAAGTTACGTCCACTTTATACAGGGGCGTATACAGATCAGTGTTATTTGGGGACTGACATGTAAAGGGAAAATTTACTGAAAAACAAGAGAACTTGATGCGACTGACGAAAAGTGCGTGTTTTTGAAGATTCCGCCAGCATGTGGAAAAAACATGTTATAGATGTCTCTAATAACTCATCCTACAAGTGGCAACTCACCTCTTATACAATTGTTTACACTTCTTTTTGAACGAGCAGGTGTGATACTAGTAGTCGTATGAGCAATAGTGAAATTGAATTTTAAGATATACTATGCTCAAACTTACGGTGGCACAAAGGTGACATGTGTGTGTTTTTATTTATCTCGTGCGCACGAGATACTGTGTCGTGGCCACGGGTTACTAAGTCGTGGCCACGAGATAGTTAAGTCATGGGAACGAGATACTATGTTGTGGCCACGAGTTACTAAGTCGTGGCCACGAGATAATCAAGTCGTGGGAACGAGATGACTAAGTTGTGGCCACGAGTTACTAAGTCTTGGCCACGAGATAAATAAGTCGTTAGAACAAGTTACTATGTCGTGGCCACGAGAAAGTTTAGTCGTGGCCACGAGAAAGTTAAGTCGTGCGAACGAGATAAATAACCAATCAAATTACACTATTTATATGAATTTTCCTAACAAGGATGCCCCTACTTCTCCTGTTCGTAAAAGTGCCATTTATAAAAGTTATTGATTGGTCAAAGATTTAGCGTCATTGTGACCCTGATTTCTGACCAAATTGCCTAAAAATTATTAGGTGTCATCTACTGATCTTTTTGAGGTTATATAAACTTAGTCAAAATTAATGTCTGATTTATGGGCCTTATGATCCTAAAGACATGTATCAAGTTCAAAGTGAACACTTTAGTATTTTCAAAGATTAATGTTGCACGTAAATCTTTAAACAGTAATTTTCTAAGTTTAAAAAATCATGGTGTAATCTGATTTAATTATCTAGTCTGCACGACTTAGTTATCTCGTTCCCACGACTTAAACGGCTTAGTAGCTCGTGGCCGTGACATAGTATCTCGTGGCTACGATATAGTATCTCGTTCCCACGACTTAACTATCTCGTGGCAACGAATAAGTAACTCGTGGCCACGACTTAGTACAGTACAAACTTAATTTTTTTCCTGTAAAATAAAATAAATATGTGTGCTTTAAATCCTTTACACTGTAAGTGGGCAGTATGAATATACATGTATAGTGTTATTACAAAAAAAAATATGGAAGTTTCTTTTAAAGACAGGCACAACTTTACTTGACCCGTAATAAGAAAAGCAGATTCCTATACATTATGTGTATGTGTTTTTATTTAAATAAAACATATTTAGTAAGAATTTTATAGATTTCATTAAATTTCTGTGATAAAAATATCTTACTGAAAAATGTGCATAGTATATCATTAAGCACAAATGTATGTGAATGTGGTGGTGTGTGCGGGATGTCTGATCTATAATCAGACACACATATGCCCAACATTTGAGCCGCGTCACGACAAAACCAACGTAATGGGTTTGCGACAAGCATGGATCCAGACCAGCCTGCAACTCTCTTTCCAACTCTTTTACAAGTAGAGAAACTGATAGCGAACAGCATGGATCCTGATCAGACCGCGCGGACGCGCTGGCTGATCTGGATCCATGCTGGTCGCAAACCCATTATGTTGGTTTTGTCGTGACGCGGCTCATTTGTAATTGACTATGCACATGTTACAAAAATAAACAACTTCCTTCTTTCCTTATTATACATGTATATTTTAATGTGTTACATACCTATTCGCCACTATTAGTGACTCTGAGACATTTATTAAGTTAAAAGGCCAATAATTTTTGCTTTTTAATGTCCAAGTCATTAGATAAAGACCTTCGCAGTACCTAGGCCGGTGCTTAACAACTGGATGACAGCATAATATGTTTTGGTAAGGGAGTACACTAAGAAGACTATTGCATGAAACTGACACGTATATATTCCATCCCAGCTCATGAACGTATATTTTGGGGTAGGTGCAGCCCTTGAGCCAGGGTCTGAACCCGCCACTGTACGTATAACTGCCCCATTGAATAACTGTTTACGAGCATATTTTTTCAATAAGACTGTATACATATATACAATTATATTGCATAATCCTTTACTTCTTGTATTTATAGCTCTATTCTTTCAACTGCAATTTATGTATTAAGCGCTTACTACGTATTTTATTTATATATACATGTACGCAGTATCTATACGGAAAATTCCGATGATAGGCGAATCGTGGAAAAATTCTGTTGATATCGATAACAGAGTTCTCGCCCCTTAACAGTTATAGTTTAAATTGTTTATCATAATGTAAGATGATCAAACATAATCCACAAAGCCTCGGACACCGAGCTTTATTAAGCATAAACACTGAATAATGGATATAAGCGAATCCATCAGGGAACAAAAAATAGTCAATTTTAAATGACTTCTACATAAAAGTAACACAAAAAAACTAAACCGTAAATGGTTTGTATAGAGCATGAAGAAAGGTAACTTATACATAAAGGTATATGACGTTAACATTTTAGTATTCCAAATGGCTTGTTCCAGTTTCATAGTTATCACTCAATGAAAGAATTGGTCACTACGAAATGTTTGAATGAAATAATGAAAAATGGAATCCAGCATAATGCAAAGTTTAAATATCATAAAGCAAGATGGAATTAAGCATAATGCAAGTTCTAATGTCATGTAGCAAGATAGAATTAAGCATAATGCAAGTTCCAATGTCATCAAGCAAGATGGAATTAAGCATAATGCAAGTTCCAATGTCATCAAGCAAGATAGAATAAATGCATTAATTCTGTTCCATATTGTACATACAATTCAACGTTACCAACTCAACACAGATATTTTTTTTTTGAAATTGCAATAAAGGAAGAAAACTGATAAAAATGTATTTGAGTAATTCTATATACTCCTTATTAGATAAAAATATTCAACGTGAAAACGTGAACGATACAACATTTCATCATCTTTGTATACATTTTAGAATTTTTATATTTATAAGATGATGGTTACCCGTGTTGGAATAAACTCTAAAACTATATTTTCTTTAATCGTTTTTTTATCGATGAGTTTTTTTGTATAAATTAGTACTCTTCAAAAATGTTTTTATTCAAATCTGAATAAATAGTTTAAAAGAAATTTTATAAATGCAATATCCTTTTTGGTCTTAAACAAACGCTGGCTATTAATAATTATGTAAAAAATCCATAGTAATTGTTGTCTGTATACGCTATTGTGGATTCAGTAAAATATGATAATATAAACAACTATCTTTAAGTATCATACAAGGCTAATTTGTAAAATACTTTTATATGTTTACATACATACATGTAAGAACAATATATAAAAAAACTTACCGTATACTAATATAAACTGTTTTCCTACTCCAATGTGATACTAAGTTGAACACTGAAATATGTCAAGTAATTTGGGCGTTTAAACTGATGACTGAAGTAAAAACTCTTATCGGCGCTTTATTTCAACCCGGAAGAAAAAGTCACCGAACACCCTATTTAAAGTTGTGGAACCTTAATTTGAGCCGTGTCATGACAAAACCAACATAATGGGTTTGCGACCAGCATGGATCCAGACCAGCCTGCGCATCCGCGCAGTCTGATCAGGATCCATGCTGTTCGCTTACCAACTCTATTACAAGTAGAGAAAATGATAGCAAACAGCATGGGTCCTGATCAGACTTCGCAGATGCGCAGGCTGGTCTGGATCCATGCTGGTCGCAAACGCATTACGTTGGTTTTGTCGTGACACGACTCAATTTATGTAGTACGTGTAATTGAATCGATAAACGAGATTTAAATCAAATAACAATCTTTCTTTAAATTCACGAATATGGCACATGTACGTTTAATACTTCCGCAAACTTCCGCTAATAAATAAATCACGAAAAAAGGTAAAAGGAAGGGGAAATTAACAAATAAATTACTGCATTAAAAGGGGCGTGCCTATCCTCCATTTACTCTTCAGAAAGTGTTCCTATAACAGCAAGATAAAAAGCCTACATTACAACCATCACTGTTTAAGCATATAATTTTTGTTAAATTCTTGTTATTCAAAAAGATTCATCCCGTTTTCAATGAATTTATAAAAGACGAAACTGCCCTCATCCCCTTCCCCTCCTCAAAAATACTATCGTGGAATAAATGCTAAATAACTCAAAAGCTGAAACAATTTATGTAATTGTTTAATTGTTGGTAGTGTTATTTTTGAGATAGATACCTCGACGAGCCAAAGTTCTTTATGACTAAATGAAAGAAAACAATGTATAAAATCATAGGTTCTCCACCTCCGATTCATGTGGGGAAGTTGGTAGTTTCTAGCGTACGTCAGGTAAGTACTGTTAAAACATGCAAACGCATAGGTACGTGTATTAGTACGTGCCCCGTCTGAAACTCGAACTTATCGTTTGTAAACTCACTGTATAATTTATTGCGAGTCTAAATACCATATTACTTCAAGTATGAGGAACATCGAATATGTAAGTGAGTACTATTTTGATGTAAAAAAGAAAGAATCTATTACTTGCTACACTCAGACAAAGCACGCACGAACACACAAGACAACAACAACAACAATAAACGCGCAAACAACAACCAATTCATCAATGTTGAAACTTTGATTAATACCCTGGCCGAGTATCTTTTATAAAAGAGTTTTCTTGTTATTATTACGGAAGACGAATAAAAGATTACAAAACCCCCTTAATATTCTTTACATGACATTTAAGTCACCTTGGTCGGTAAACAAATCCAAATTTCGTCTGTACATACTCCATTTAAAGGCACGCTACATTTTACATTATGAATGTTATACGTTTGCACGAAGTTCAGTTTATTCATTATAATATATACGTGTATTATGTTTCATTCATTTGACAGGATTAGCATATATTTTAATTTTAATAAATAAACGACATGAGGAACTTTTGTTGGATAAATAAAGGTCTAAATATTAACTTACCACGCTTAATGCCTTAAATGGACTTCCCCATCTATCAACCTGGACAAAACCATTCATTATTTTAGGGATAAATTTTATGAGGAATACAAAAACTGAACAAGTGCAGTACAAACGCGGACGTTCCGGCTGATCTGAGTCTGCATTGGTGGCATGGAGTGAATCTTTTGATGTCAGCAGGCACATGTTTATGAAAATAAGATAAAATAAAATTTCATAAAGAAACAAAGGAGAATTTAATTTATGACATTTTAATCTTTTTTAAACAGTTTGTTATCATATTATAGTTTCGAGTGGGATCTAAAACGTATGTATTCATAACTAAAATGTAAACATGTACAGAAGATACTGAAACTTATCTACGTTTGATTTATACCCAAAAACCCTTTGGGTGGGGCCAATTTTGACAGGGCTTTTATTTGAACAAACTTGGTAGACACCCACTAGATGTTTCATGCCAAATAATGTAAAATCGAAAACAGTATTTCAATATACAGTAAAATCCTACAGAATGCAAGACTCATCACTAATGCCACTATTTATCAATTTTGTATGTTACTTTGTAAAATGTTAGTGATGTAATAACAGCACTCTGTGAGAAATACATTATTCAAATAAAGTAGCCAACGTCATCCCAGAAATCACAAAAGTTTTTCCTATATTCATCTAATAACTCGCTTTTTGGTGTCTTGAAATGCATAATTGTCGTCTGTTTTATATCATAATTTGGCCAATTTAAGTAAACCGGATGGGGCCCTGTATTGGGATTTGATGTATAAGCAAAATTTGACCAGTATGATATAAGTTCCGTAGATAACCGTTCCTCTTCCGGACTTAAATGAAAGCCACCCAGATGTGCTGTGTGAAAAACGAACGGCAGCTCTACACCATGGCAATCATGACCTTCACAAAAAGTAAAATTATACCACGCCCCTTTCGCTGAAAATGGATGGTTAAAGATATACAAATGTATAGAAGAATGTCCGAACGTTTGCAATGACCGACTCACGTTTCTAGCTGTGCACGTGAAAATCAGATCAGTTGACAAATTTTGTAGTGTATCACGGCAGTCACGTGATTTTACAGGAGGATATTTAGCCAATAATTTAAGAGCTTTTATAGGATCGGCGAGTAACAAAATTCCAAGATAAGTTTCTAATCCCATCGTTTCCTTAAATGCTTCATATACAAAAATCCTCGTTTCCTCGCTCACTGTCCCAATCAATAAAGGAATGTTCTCAAACTTTCCACTTTGTGCAGCGGTTACTGGTTCCATTTTGACTTCGTCACCGTCGACCCATGGACCAATCGGTTCAAACAATTCTAACAAAAAAGGTGACGTCACAACACTCCTCGCCTCGTGCTCTGCAAGAGCGATATCTTCTGCTGATACGTTAAGCAGACATGTTATATCCCCAGCTTTAAAATAGACGATAAATATTAAAAAATATATATCACAGAAATAAACAGTGCTAAATCTTTTCAACATCCTGTAACAATAACAGGCGTTTCCGGGAGTAAGTTAGTTCAATAGTTTACAAAATTTAAACTAGCGCAAAGAATTATGCTAAAATATGCACGATTACACAGACACGTTGATGAAAAAATGGAGTTTATCTTCCTACATTTTTATAATCTTCCTAAGAAAGCGAGATTATGCTCTTTCAGGTGATTTTTAAGACCAGATTACTTCAGAAAAAAAAGATCAGTCTAAGTCAATAGCATGGAACTTAATGTTACGCGGATATATACATGTAATTTTGTTAGGAATTGTCGACGTAAAAAGGGGCCTTTCAAACACTGGCTCATTACAAAACTTTATTAGACTTACCTGGACAATTAACAAACTTGGCGATAAAATCTCCTAAAAATAGAACCTCCTCTTTTGTTTTATAACGAATAGAAAATGGAGAGCTTTGAATAATTGCATTTCGGAATAAACCATCAGCTTTTCCATTAGTCAGATGGATAGCAGTTGATTGAGCCCCTGCCGATTGGCCAAATAATGTCACCTAGAAGTGATGAAAATAAAATATTACGTGTAAAAGCAAAAAGAAGAAGAAGAAAAAAAAACACTTAATTTTATGTTACATGTTAAACAACAACAACAATAACAACAACAAAACAAACAATACAGACCAAAATAATACGGTAGAGCATCAAAAGCTAGTTTAGTTTTATATATAACATCTAAGAACGCAAAAATAATATATTTTTATATAACATGTTAATGCATTAAAACGATAAATTATTTTTATATATTATAACATGTATATGTATAACAATTAAAAGCACATCAAGAAATATAGTTTTATATACCATGTAAAAGCACAAAAAGTGGGACGTATAAACATTTACGAGTATAACAGGAACAAATTTACGTGCTTCTTTCCGTATATATCATAACGTGCAGGCCCTTCTAAAAGTATCAGTTTTTCAATATGACAATTAACAAACGTGCAGGCCCTTCAAAAAGTATCAGTTTTTTAGTATGACAATTAACAGTAAATATTACACCATAATCAATGTCTCATCAGTCAATAATATAGCCTCGAAAGTTATAGTAAAAACTGATTACTAGTAAAATAAAACACTTATGTATGAAAATTGCAAGATATTGTAGACAGCACGGAAGATAATAATTCGCTATTGAAATACATTACCTTCCTCGGATCCCCACCAAAGGCCTCGATATTATCTTTAACCCACTGTAATGCAAGACGTTGATCTTTAATCCCATAATTCCCTTTAGCATCCCTAGGGCCATCTCCTGTTACAAGAAATCCAAAAGCCCCTGAAAATATAAACATGTAAAAATAGAATCTGGTATTCAGGGTTGAAATTATGAGTGAGTAAAACTTTCTTTAAAATTTATATACAGTTATAAACAAAACGATTAAACACATTTTTCATCGAAGCATATATGAATGGATGGCCAAAAGCACATGCTTAAATGAATGACTTGGCGATCACTGCAAAGAAAGGGAAGATAATAATGTTGCTACGATTATGAAGCTTGTCACCGACACTTTGCTTTAAGAAAGTACGACAACGTGACCTTTAATACGACTGAAATTGACACCTAATGACCTAAAAAAATTAAGAAATATGGACCTAATGACCTTAAAGAATGAAGAAATATGAACCTTATGATCTTAAAGAGTGAAGAAATATGAACCTAATAACCTCAAAGAATGAAGAAATATTAACCTATTGACCTTAAAGAATGAAGAAATATGAACTTAATGACCTTAAAGAATGAAGAAATACGAACCTAATGACCTTAAAGAATGAAGAAATATTAACATATTCACCTTAAAGAATGGAAAAATATGTACCTAATGACCTTAAAGAATGAAGAAATGTGAACCTATTGACCTTAAAGAATGAAGAAATATGAACCTAATGATCTTCAAGAATGAAGAAATATGAACCTAATGACCTTTAAGAATGAAGAAATATGAACCTTATGACCTTAAAGAATGAAGAAATATGAACCTAATAACCTTAAAGAACGAAGAAACAAACTCAGTGCACGCACACACATGGATGCAAAAACCCTTGATGTCTTGATAGGAATGACCAAATAAACCCATAGAATGAAGTAATAATCCTTGTTGAATAATTAAACCCGAATATTTACAGAGGTAAAGAGATAAGGGTAATTTAACTATATATATATATGTACAAGAACAAATCAATTAGATGTACACAAAAAAATGAATCTCGCAGACTGACAAAAAGTGAATAAATAAACCATATACATTGACAATAATGAATAAGTAAACCATTTATATTGGCAATAATTGATGAATGGAATATTTACATTTACAATAATGCTTAAATAAACAAAGTACATGTATATTTACAAGAATGAATAAATAAATTAAATATACTGACAATATTTAATTAATAAACTATGAATATTGACAATAATTAATAAATAAACCATTTACATTTACAAGAATGAATAAATAAACAGTGTAAATTTGCAAGAATGAAATAACTTTTTTTTCACCGTAAATTTATATAGTTTTGCATCGGTTAACTTGAGACCAGTTAAATATTTTTAAATGAGGAAATAATAGGTTGTTTTGAGTGGCAGTTTAAATTTAACATTTCTATTGTAGTTGAAGGTAAAACATTCGTTTTGTATTATATTGCACAAAGAGATTTGAATAAAACATATGAGCCGCGTCACGACAAAACCAACGTAATGCGTTTGCGACCAGCATGGATCCAGGCCAGCCTGGGCATCCGCGCAGTCTGATCAGGATCCATGCTGTTCGCTATCAGTTGCTCTACTTGTTATAAGGTTTGTAAAAGCGAACAGCATGGATCCTGATCAGACTGCGCGGATGCGCAGGCTGGTCTGGATCCATGCTGATCGCAAAGCCACTATGTTGGTTTTGTCGTGACGCGGCTCATATATCCAATTACATGTTAAGTACAGGTATTTCTCTTCCGGATTATTTTTTACACAATAACAATACATTGTATTAGGACAATATACATTACTAAATATGACACTTTTATGACAAAATTGTTCTGTGCGTGATGATGACGAAGCTTATATGTACATCAATTTCTATATATATTAAATAAGCATTAAATAAGTACCCAGTCTGTAATCGACATTCACCAAAATCACGTGTCCTTTACTCACAAAGTCTTCTCCTCTGAAAAGCAGAGACCCGCCGCTTAATTGCACAAAATTCCCGCCATGTATGAAAACCATGACTGGCAGACGACTATCTTTCCTGGCGTTAGCTGGCGTCCATATGTTCAAATACAGGCAGTCCTCTGATACCTCGAAAATAAATGTTTTCATGTAAATAAAACCATGCTAGAATTTTTCGTATCAATGACTTCGTCGTTTTTTTATGTCTGCAAATCTACAATGGTGCTAGTTTAAATGAAATGAATTCAACTTTAATTACTGTAGTAATAAAAAAAAATCTTTTTCGCAGGTTATTTAATTGATAAAAAAGGAAAAAAAATACTTTAAGAAATGATTGCAAGACTATGATGATTAAAGTTCTTTAATTGCGTGAAATTGATTTCGATAACCCTTCATCTATTTGAAGTACATTGTAATCATTACCAGCAAGAGTTCTTTCCCTCATTCTATAAATAAGGGCGTGTCGGGTTGTTGATAATTAGCCAGGCCGCGTAGCTCCCTTGGCCGACTAAAATTACTAATCAGTCTTTTGGAATGATACTTAAAATCGAGGTCCCGTGTATGAGTGCTCTAACACATGGTACGTTAGGGAACCAAGAGAAGCTTCTGGAATTGTGACATCTTATCTAAAATGACTTATATTCTTCTTAAGAAGTCGCCCATATAAATAACCTCAAATATAATGTTGATAATGTATTTGCAAAACTGGTTTTCTGATTTTTGAATGATCTTTTATATTGATATAATTCATAAGTAAAAGATATCAGAAAGCAATAAATATTTACCGTTTTTGGACACAATATTGCTGGATTCATTGAAGCGCATGCTAATTGGTAGCACCCTGCTTTTACTTCCTTTGTATCAAGGACACCCGTCCATGGACGTGGGTTTTCGGGTGGACGCCATCTTTAAAAAGTTATAATAAAAGATGAGTCACAATGGTGTCCGGTATAGTATATGTTTTAATATTTGTGAATGACTTCCTTCGTTTAGTAATGAGTCTATACATAAACATATTAGTTAGAAATCCTCTCTGGCGTGGGTTCGATCCCCGGGAGATGCTTTGGTAGTTTAGCGCGGAGGAAGGTAGTCTAGTACTGGTGTAACTCTCCAGGAACGATGGTTAGGAAACTACCCGCCTATATGACTGAAATACTGTTGGAAAAAGGCGTAAAATGAAAGAAACAAACAAACAGTAAAGGGAATAACCTTGGAAATCAAATACTTTAAAGGTATGTTTGATAGAGCAGAACAATGCGGATCAAAACAGAACGGAAATAAGATTAATTATTTTCACAATGTCTATCTACATATAAACAATATATGAAAACATATTACTTATAAATCACATAACATGTTATGTAATGCTTCTTTAATTTTATTTTATATTAGATAAATTATAACCTGTTGATACAATTCATTACAAATGAACCTGTTAAGTACATGGTATAGCGCTGTATTGCAATTTTGATATTCGATTTTAATCATACCACTGTAGAAAACACTATGTATAAACATTAGCCCAAAAGCGGATGACGTTTGCCTGTTACTGGTACGTATATAAATATTAAAATTAAGAACTCGAATATTTTCTGTTTTGTTATGTAATATAAATAATTTTTATTATGTGTATGTTTTAATACTTGTGTATGCGTTCTACTTTATTAAACAAGGATATTGTTACTGTAAATCAAAGTGTTTGGGGAATTATTGGTATCCCAGTGGTTCAGGTGTCTGCATCCAAACTCAGTGGCCTGTTGGTCCATTCCCTACTGACGACACCTCTCGTGATGCTAGCACTGAATAGTTTCACGAAGCGGACTCGAAAGCAGTTTAAGTGAACTGTCGTTTCAAATGAGTAAAATTAAATGCTATAGTTTACCTTTATCATAATCCACCAGATAAAATAATCTCTTATTCTAATCATAAGTGGAAAATATATACGTTAATTAAATTGATTCAATATAATACTCAAATGATATTTTACCTCAAAGACCCGATCGGCGGCGCTGCATAGGGAACGCCAAGAAATGTCCGACTTTTCGACGTTTGTACACCTTGTATTTTCCCAAATTTCGTTTCCACAATGACGTCATCGTTGTAAAAAAACGCCGCCAACGAAATTATTATAGAATACAAATAACGAAACATTGCACATATAAATATACAATACTTAAATGTTACACTATTAAAGTTAACAAAGGAGGTTTTAATTGAGAAAGGATGTTACAATGATAAACTGATAAAGAGGATACAGGAGGTCATTTGATGAACTATTGATGATAAACGACATTTACTTAAAACTTGAGAAATTCAAAATATGTTACAATTACCTATTTTCCGCTTGTTATGGTTTCTTCAAAGTATTATCAGGTTATCTTAAACATCTAAATATATAAACCCGTGAAAATAGTACTAAAATTGTAACATATGCTACCGACTTGACTATAAGTCTTGGTTCGAATGGGGTAAGGAGTAAGGGTGTTAATCATTGATACTATTTCGGTAAGATTAAAGATTTATATTATCGATAAATCTACATGGTATCATACGTTAGCTGAGGCAGTGTATTATTGTGTGATACTTTTGTTGATTTCAGTTGCAATGATATGCTGGTAGGTGCAGAAGTCATTATGTTCAGTGGTGAACACAAACAACATATCATTGCAACTGAATGTAATGAAACTATCACCCAACAATACACTGCCTTAGCTAAATAAAATGATAGTACCATTCAACTGTTTATTTTCATGGTTAAACATAATGAGAAGAGCACCAAACATCATATTAGTATAACTGAACATAATAACTGTAACACCCCAAAACATATCTTTTAACTCAAAATAATTGTGCTACCACATGCCTGTTTATTTTAAGAACTGAACATAACAACTAATGAATCCGACAATACATTGACTTGGCTTAATAAAATATAATCAGCACACAACACAACACTTCAATAACTGAGCACATTGGGATTTTCACCCAGCTTTTTGAATTTCGACCTAGCATGTTGTGTTTCGGACTCAACTGAAAGGCATTTAACAAGGTATATCAGTCATTCTAAACATAAGACAGTCCGGGCGTTCCATATTTTAGATACAAGGCTAGACGGAGCTCGAGTGATTTCTTTCTTTTTCTTGAATCGGTAAATGAAAAAACACTTAATGTTTAATATCGATTTTTTACTCATAAAATGAAAACGAGGCTAAGTTCATAAAGTTGGATCCAAAATAATTTATAATCGGAGTCGAGAGTTCATCGGTTTATACTTTATAAGATGTGAATTATAAACATTTTTATCAATTATTTTAGATAACAGTCTGGATTGAAGTGTTGTTTTCCGCCGCTCAAATATATGCCTTCATTTTAATTAAAAGGCACGATTTTGAACACTTTCATTAAAATGTAAAATCAAACTTTTACTTTTACATTATTTAAAGTATATTTGTTTAAACTTGATTTTATTGAAATTGAAATCGTTTGATCAAACAGTTTCCGAGTATGCAAAAGTACACCCTATAAGTGTGAGTGCATGCTTACAAAAAGGAAACAAAATAACCTTATTTGAGTAGTACAGATTCTGTATAACTTGATATTAAGAGTATATTTATTGCCTATACTTAAATTTTTGATTTGAACAGTACATTACTGCAATTGAAATTTTGCTGATATACTTAGAACCATTAATAACACCACATATTTGGGAACAAGGGTAACTTGGCTATACAGTTTTTAAATATCAATTTGATTGCATCACAAGTCAAGTCATTCATCAAATTACTTAGTTGGAAAAAAAATCAAACGTTGCGAAATTGCCGTTCATATGTGCACGTGAAAGTCGTGTTAGTAATGACACGTGTTTATTGCACGAT